TTAGGATAAATATTGTTCAAACCTGTTAAGTATGGTAGCATGAGGACTTGCTTCAAGTGAGGTGACATAGACTCGTCCTTGATCGGGATTGCATCTTCATGGGGAATCCCCCCCCCCCTCATACTGGTAGTGCTATCGGAACGCAAAATTTCCATATAACAGTACTGCCTACCTCTCATGTATGGGCTTGGGCATTCTGACTCTGCAGGGATATGGCTTCTTCTTACATTGGTGCCTGTGAAGGCGAGTTATTAGTTTCATGGGAAGCCAACTCAAATACTTCAAAACTTAGCGAATTAGGCATTTTAAGCGAGGGCCATCCTTGTCTTCTTATATACTGTCGTCTCATCACAAGTTGACACCTGCAGTATGTGGTGCATGATGCATCGCTCCTCTCTCCGAACACCTTTTGCGGTAGCATCGTGCAGTATTTTCCCGCTACCGTGTCCTCTGCAAGGTCGGAGATATCTTCTTGTCTATAGGGGTATATCGGATTGCGTCCTTCTTTGGGTGCGGGTGTTGGTTACCCCCTTACTTTGTCTTATGTTACCTTTGCAATTGATGCTACCTTGCGTTCCCGATTCCGTATTCATTTCGCAATAGTGATACTCCGTAAGGGTTTTTAAGTAAGTCACCATTTAGGTCCCAATAAATACTCGGCTGAATCTCGTTGGCTGTTTCTCTGATCAACTCTTACTTCTGTCTTCTCCTATGTGATGCGCGTTTATGGTTGGACGGAGATGGCTATTAATGATGAAATAGTCAAATAGGGAACTTGGATAAGAGGTTCAATTGCTGTTTACTAGAGGTGAATATGAACATCGGGGATTGCTGTCAATAAACCGCGAAATTTATACGAGAAAGGCGACGGAAGAAATATCCGAGAAAGGGCTGATACCCTTTTGCCCTCTTGGATTCTCATGTCTGTAGGTTGGGGTAGTGCAGCCTTTTAGGACGCGTACCTTGCGTATAATGCTACCTATAATATCACAAATATGCATTATCGAAAATCATATCCACAATCCGACGTTCCGGAACGGAGAGTAAACTCCTAACAGAAGCTCGCGAACGTTTAGCTAAGGCTATTATAGTAGTTCTAGACTAGACCGGAGACGGACTCTTGACCTCGTTTGGAATTTCTAGACTCGGTCTGAAGTAACGAGATGGAACTCTTCACTTTGGCGCGCTTGTATTGAGTCTCCCCCTCGAACCAGATGAGATTACAGAGGACTGTCGTTTTATGTGTACCTAGGCTTTAACTAAAGTTCACCTGCACCCATAACAGCGCAGTGTATATTACACCACTTTCTATGCTATACGCATAGCATATACAACCTATGTATACTTACACCTGGTCAGCTTTGACTTATTCCCTAAACTATTGATATTTTGTGCATTAGCTCATTAAAACCACGTGGATGTCAGGGAATATCGGCGTGTTATCGGTTCGTATAAAGTAACCGCGCAGGACGATCATTTGTAATTTTTCTATTGTGATCCCTCAGCAGCGAATACTGTTCGATGACTGTTTTACCCGGTGGCTAGGCGTTCCTATATTTTTAAGCTTGCATATACTTGCATCTCGCCTAGAAGCCTGATACTCGGCTACTCAGCTACGGGCATAATAATGACGCGCTTCGTTTACGTTGCGGCTCTGTCGCTAACCAGCTTAGCGTTTGCTCAGACAATCCAGGATGGCGTCGGTAAGCTTTAGTTTTGTCCTTGATACACCCTCTATACAGTAGACACGCCATCATGATGTGGTGGCTTGCTAACCCTTGTCGATACAAATAGAGGCAACCCCAGAGACTGTTGCGCCAGCCGTCGAGACAGTGGAAGCTGATGCCTCGTCATCTGGCATCGACTATTTTCCCTTCGAATCAAGCCAGCTTACGCCTGATGTTATCACCAATTTGACAAATTATAATCTTACTAATGTCGACCTTTTCAATTTTAGCGACACTGGAGCTGCGGTTCAAAAACGTACCGGCCGCGTGTGTAAAACTTATCCCGGGGACAGAAGTTGGCCGGTTCGCCCTATATGGGATCTCCTTAATATTCTATTAGGAGGCGCTCTAGTTGAGGGTGTGCCAACCGCAGCGCCATGCTATTCTGACTGGCCTCAGTATGACAAAGCCAAGTGTGCCTCGATCACCTCTCAGTGGCAGACGCCTCAATATCAGTTAGCATCCCTTCCTTATGCTCTCTTGGGTTTGTGTCTAACCTAGCACAGACTATCACAGCCTCTAGGAATCCAGTACTATGCCTTTGAGGGAGTGAGCTGCTTGCCGCCTAGCCTTACACGGACGGGTGCTAAATGCACACTAGGTGGCATGCCGTCGTATGTTGTTAATGCTACCAATGTCGCACAGATCCAGCTTGCTGTCAATTTCGCGCGGAACCTTAACCTGCGGCTGATCGTCAAGAACAAGGGCCATGACTTCAAAGCCAAGTCCACTGGCGCTGGATCGCTTTCCATATGGACCAATGCTCTACAGGGAATCCAGTACTTGGGCTCCACGTACTCCCATGGCCCATCAGGTTACCGTGGACCAGCTTTTAAGATTGGTGCTGGCGTTCAGGCGCTTCCCCTTTATCAAGCCGCAAACAAATTAGGTCTTCATATTGTCGGTGGTAATACTCGTGTAAGTATCATGTCTCATTCTGAGACCATACCATAAAATAATGGAGTCTAATCAAAATCCTGTGCTAGACCGTCGGCATCGGTGGTGGATACATTGCTGGTGGTGGCCATTCCCCCTTGCTATCTATGTATGGCATGGCAGCTGATCAAGTATTGTCCATGGAAGTTGTGCTACCTAATGGCCGTTTTGTTTCTGTCGATGAGCAAAAGTATCCCGATCTTTTCTTCGCCCTTCGCGGCGGAGGTGGTAGTACCTGGGGTATCGTGACCTCGCTTGTTATTCGGGCTTACCCGAAGAAGCCCGTCTCTACTCTCAGTTATAGCTTCGGTGTCAATACTAACGTATCGACGGAGACTTTCTGGAAGGGAGTCAATGCCGTTTTCGCCAAATTTCCCGACTTTGCCGATAAGGGGATGTATAGCTATTGGTCTATCAGCTGCTTGTCTGACTGCTCCTTCTCTATGGCTCCTCAATGGGGAAATGATATGAACTCTTCCAAGCTCAAGACATTGTCTACTCCATTATTTGACGAGCTCGCGGGGTTGGGAATTACCGTTAGCGATGCCGTGTATAAAGAATACGATGGCGTGCTGGGTGGCATTGAAGGTACTTGGTCGGCTGAAAGTGAACAGACTGGCGTCTGGAATTTTAATACTGGGTCAAGATTATTCCCCCGTTCTAACTGGGACGATCCGGCGAAGCTTGCTACACAAAACGCGGCTCTCCGGCAGGGTGTCGAAAAGGCTGGCTTAATGCTCGGATACAACATGAAAGCAGCAGTCAACCCATCAATCAACCAGACTAACGCCGTGAATCCAGCATGGCGCCAAGCCGTCCTGCACGCGCTACTAGGTGCTACTTGGAGCCAGGAAGCCACTGCTCAGGATATCGCGGCCGCGAACAAGAACCTCGTCGAGATGATGCAACCATGGCGAGACGCATCCCCCGATTCTGGCGCATATCTCAATGAGGCGGACATTAACGAACCGAACTGGCAGCAAGCTTTCTACGGTTCAAACTATGCATATCTTTACCAGCTCAAACAGCAGTACGACCCTTGGGGCCTATTGTGGGCACCTACAGCTGTTGGCTCCGAGGACTGGTACGTAACTGACCAGATCGAGTATTACCCAACACAGAACGGAAAGCTGTGTCCTAAATAGGACTTTGGGTTTCTTCAGCATATAAGATTCTATTTGCTATAAGTTATTAATCGAAAAGAATGTATAAAAAGGCTTCACTATACTACATATTATACCCATACAGCACGCGAGCACCCACCTTTCCCACCCCTTATCAGATAATATTTATTTTAGTCTGTATCTAGGCATGCCACAAGACATGTCCACCTTGTATCTACAGTAAAGCCTCAAAGTGTTTCATGCTTTAATTTCACCGATGTCGCGTTGGTTTCTCTACTTTTAACTCTTAGCTTTCTCGCCACCTTTCGCATTAAAATACCTTCGAGATAGATACTCTAAACGCATAAGCCGAGATAGATTATTACTGGAACAACTTGAGCTTAATTCTGGTTTTACCATTTCACGTTACAATATCTCTATCTTATAATCTTAATGTAGCTTTTTATAGAATACACGTTTTCTTCTTAAGAATAGGTAATAGCTTCTACGTTGTAGATAGGCCTGTTTACCTTGAACCTGAGCCAAGCACACTTTTTGGAGGCGATGTTGAACCGACTTTAGGATGCTATAGAATCTTACTCTAATTATAAAGTTTATCTTGAAATAAAATCTTTTGATTATTAGGTAATTTCAATATGCTAATATAAGCTTTCATAGGATATGTGCATTTAAATGAGTCACAATAGTTTTTAGCATTCTATATTGTTTCGGCTGGCATAATAATAGAATACGCTTATTCCTACTTCCCTATTAATGCCGTTGTATTATCTATTATCTACCCACATACGCCGTCAGGTATTGAAGGGAAGTATTTCATATTTTGGAGCATTTGAACTTTTTTACTCACGCAAGTATATTTCAAATGAACAAATTATAATATACAGCTAACACATTAAGATATTTGAAAAGGATTGATCTGATGAAATATTATGAGTTGGTATTGTTTTCAATATATAGAAGCCAAACAAAGAACCTGCAACAGCATGGGACTTGGAAAACAATGTATTGTTTAATAGCTGTTATATCGCTATAGCATCGTATTGCTACTGTTCCCTAGGGAATTTGTGTATATATTTATCGAATTTGCCTGCTACAGTATGTTGTATCTTCTCACCAGAACGCCACTTACCTAGTCTTAAATCTACCTCCTTTGAAGTCTTTCGTCAAAACACAAAATTATTTCAAAATTCACACAAGCTCACGCTCATCCAAAATGTCTTATCCCAACAATAGACGTGATTGGCGTCCAGTTTGTGTAGCATGCCGCTCGAAGGTATCGGGCCAAAAAGCACCATGCACTCGTCCTGTGGAAGGCCACGGGGTAAGTAAAAATCAATATCCATCTCCCCCCACGTTCCCGGGTATTTCCTTGAGATTATTCGCTGACCGTTGATATTATAGTGCACCGGATGTAAGCAGTATGGCCTTCCTTGCATATTTGGCGGAGTTCCGCTACCTCCTTACCCTGGCCCTACTCGAGCACCAATATTAAGCACATGCGATCAATGTGGAGATCTGGGCCTACGCTGCGATTTTAAAAGACCGGTACGTAAAACTAAAATGATTTTCACCCTTTTTGGCCTATTTTGGAAGTCCAAGTCTTCATAATCGGCCGTTGCTTCCAAAAAAGTGTCTTAGCCCTTAATACTAAAAGAAATTGGTACTAACTGTTGTTATAGTGCGATAGATGCCATAATTCTGGAGCCACATGCACGGGAAACACCCGATATTGTTTTATTCGCGGAGTACCCGGCGATGACATGTACGGTTACTATCTTAACCTCGGATTTGGTCCTAACGGCGTTAATCAAGTTCTTCACTCCCCAATGTTTTCATGGACTATGCCTGGTGACTACCATCTACAATACGAGAGGTGGGTAAGCGAAAGAACTGTGAGCAATCAGGTGGTAGAGATACAACGAGATGAACAACTTGCGGACCAATATACACAAGTATTAGAGCTAGCACAAGATGCTGCTAGGCACGGGGTCCCGGTTAACTTACCGGGAGTCATGGAAGTGCTCAATGTAGATATTTCGGGTGGTGTTCCGCCGAATGAGTCTCAAGGTGCCCGAGATCTCATGTACTATCTCGGCAAGCAAACTGCGAATAACCCTGCAGTCCATGAACGCAAAATCGAGATAAGCGAATACAATATTCTCTATAATCAGGAAGATCTTCAGAGACTTAACCCAGGCACACAGGCGGAGTATTCTTATATAGCCCCTATCAGAGACACGGTCTTGGCTCCTCTTACCCGACCAGCATCTCCTGGCCCTGGTCGCCCCAGCTACTGGATACCGTGGAATACTAAAAGTGCTGATATACCAGTCTACGACAACACAGGTGACTTTCCGGAGGGGAGCCCCGAAAGAGTCAACATGAGTGCTATTCGGAGAGATCCTTTCAGGGAGCACCCGAACGAAAATGCACAAAGCGTGTTATCGACAATTCCATTCTTCCGTATGTGGGATGAAGGGGAAATGTATCCCACCCCAAGAGCATGCCAGCAAGAGTACTTGGTTGACGGAAAGTGCGGTCGTCTAACAACACGCGGATGTGAAGATACCGCCCATATAGGGGATAGCATCCCAATTTGCGACACCTGTGAAGAAGAAAACCGCGAGAAGTTTTACGAGGAATTCGCAAGTGTTGCTCTCCAAATGAGACAATACCTATGTAATCTGTGTTCTGGTTCCATTGATAACTTACTCTATATGACCACAAATTTGGGTTGCGATGTCTATTACGATAACCCCATGGGAATACCATTGCCAGATTTTACAAGCCATTCGCTTATCGGTACGGGACTAACTAAAAGGGTTGGGGGTTGGCGAGGTTCTCCTCTAGAGATAACCGGTTGCTCCTGCGGCGTTAAGCTACTAGGTCGTCGTCTGTGTAGCCCTCACAGATTACAGCATTTACTGAACCTCCAAGAAGCTGTATCGGATATGAAGATATATGTCGACAGTCTGTACGGAAGAATGGTTTGTCCTGGGTGTAGAATATTGCGTGGTATCAACGACTACAATTTCGAAGGCCCAGCAGGCGGAGAAGGTGTGTATAAGGCATGGGTATGCTTAGCCTGTCACGGCTTCGTGATAACCGAAAATACTACTGTCTTAATACCGAGACTATACCTAAAGTCAGGGGCACCCACACCCGCTCCGGCACCGTATGGTATAAGGGCGGAGGAACTAGAAATCGCGAAGGATAAATTACGGAAGCAACTCGCGAGCACGCTGAGGTTTCCTCAAAGTTAAGACCAGTTCGTAAGATACCACCTACAACTAATAAGCCATGTTGTACGACTTAATGAAACAACATTGATACTACTTAGCTTCAAGATCTAAGTATATAACAGTGTTTCTAATGATGGGGAGCTATCTTGAGTATATTAATAGACCTCCTTAATTAGATATTTAGGTAGTTGATACCTACTTCTTGTAGATTGCCCTTAAGTTATTTAATACAGACCTGTGATATTATCAGAGTTGATCAAGCCGTATGTTAGCAGGTGAATAGGAGGTATTCAATACCTGTCAATGAGCATCATTATAGCAACAGGCCTGTGTAATATATTCACAAGAAGATTCCATGTAAAACCGCGGTACCTACCTACATGTAGGTATTAGCGCTGTCTATTGAGTTGTCATGCCCTTTGGGCGCTGCGCAGTAAATTAAGGAAACGGGCAAGACAGGTAAGGAATATCTACGAAGGAAACGACACCTAACCTTACGATTTGACAACGTTGTATTCATTATCTGACAGCGGGACTGATTAAACCTAGTTTCCTAGCTCGTATTTACCGTCAAGTTGCTTCTCCGCCCCTTCTACCTGTCTCCTCCCATGATGAATCTATTTTCTTATTGCAATCCTTAAGTACGATATTAGACGAACAGAAAACTTCGTCTGAAAATTCGTCCGACTGCTTGAGCCATTTCTGAGGCAGTGGTCTATAGTCCATCAGGTCGTCAAAGTTAAAGTTGCCCCTTTTAGCTTCTGCAATAAGGTATTGGAACTTAGAAGGTCCATCCGTCGCCCCTGGAACAGACGAAACGAAATTTATGTTTTCTATCCAGTCATAGCGGGTCCGTGTAATCCCTTGAGGCCGAGGAATGCTCGCTAGACGATATCAGTCTAGCCACCAAGCAACTAGTAATTGTTGACTAATATCTACTTCAACATATACCAAATAGACTATTTGGCCTACAGAGATACCAATGGGGGTAACAAAAGGTAGTTCAAAGTAAGTACCTAGGTACCTAGCTACTGATAGCTGAGATATATGGTAACCGAATTCTTGGGGGATTCAATTCCTGGGATTTGTCACGGGGTGGAACCAAACGGCATGGAAACAACTTCGTTGTTCCGCGAGGAACTCTAACCTAGCTACGAGAGTCTACGTCTATACATAGGTACTGAACATGTACTTTGTTCTAGATGTCTCATCTAGAATCCTGACAGGATTGCAATCACTGAGTTTATTACTTATCCATCACATCTTCTCTTTCGGCAACGACATCCAGAGCCCATCACATCTTGCAAACTCTACCTGGTGTTTGTCCTTGACCGTTACGTCTAAACTCATTTTACGCCCCTCTATTCTGTTAAGAGATGCTGTCACGACGACAGTTTGTGGGGTAGGTAGAGGCTTCAGAAACCGCACAGTCATGCTCGCAGTAAAGAATCGGACGTTATTCAAATCCAAAACGCCTCGTGGCAAACGTCGCCCCTGTGCCTCTTCACGCGTCTGAACTTGATGATTGATAAAAATAAGACTCCCCATTGCCTCATCTATCAGGGAGCTAATGAATCCGCCGTGGGCTGTCCCATTATATCCGTTCACACCTGGACATAGGTCGAAAATTAGGGATGCAGAGTTGATCAAAAGTTTCGGGCCAAGCTGTGAGGATGGGATCAACGAGGTAGAAGGGTTTTCCTCTATATCCAAATTAGAGGAAACCGGGTCATGGTAAAAGCCGATGCAGTGTGGCACAGTGTCGGCATTATTGAGCGTCTTCCGAAATAATTGGTCTTGAGTTGGAGAATTACCGGTAGGATCCTCTAGCAATCGAGAGGTGGGGGTGAATGTAATAACACCAGGACGCTCAAGAAGAGCGGCGCACCATGGTGTTGACTTGAAATGATGCGTTGCCTCGGCTAGGGAAGAATTCTGCTCCATTTTATGGTCGTATAGGCAACTTTATGATAAATAGTTAGTTCTAACGACGATGAGAAATAATAACTGTAGACTCGAGGTATTGGTTGTGCCAATCACAATGTATGAGGTTGGGAAAGCATAGTTCCGGACTACATAATACTATATTAGTAGTCGTACCTCGGCTGTTGAAGTAACCCTACCTAACCCCCGAGGCACGTCACCCTTATCACCATATCGACGCATACGTATAGTTTCACGCGTTTGCTAAAGATTCGACATAATAACGAACGCCTCCTTGCGCCTCACCGCGTCATCTAAATTCCGGCCCGGAGGAGGGCGCTCGAGTTCCCAACAATCGTAGACTTATTGGACGTGATTATTGTGACTGTGGTTCTGGTTGATACGGATAGTAACAAGGCCTTTGGTTTCTTATCGAGCTTTAGAATTGTAGCTACCGACATTGCAACTAGGAAACAATTTAATTTGCTTTAATAAGGCAAGATCTTTTTCATGTATAGAAATCTACCGATTACGTTTTCTTAGGAGGAACATTGTCATAATCTCAACTGAACGTAACAGACCACCAGACAGGACAGCGAATGATTTACGAAAGCATCATGGACAGCCTTCTTAGCAACTTCCCTCATTGCTGGTCACAAAACTACGTCAGGACTACTTTCATTTTCCTTTCACCAGCTTCTGAACCACCCAGAAGAGTACAAGAAGGTGCAGAAGGGAGTCAAAGCGTTGGGAAAAGCTATGGCAAGAGGAAAGTATGCTATAAAAAACAAGAAGAGGTCTCATCAATCCCATTGCAAAGTCGCAGGCTGACCCTTCTGTATTTGGAGACACTACCGGGGTGTTTCGTTCTGAACGAACGCTCGATGATGAATTAAATCGTCTGAACAAGGAGCTCCCGAACTGCTGGAAGCCCTTTTGAAACAGGGTGCAAGCCTGTATTGGACGCCCTTTGCCTGGTAGGAGGCTTTGCTCATGATGGCAATGCTCTCGTAGAACTTTGACTTTGTTCTTGATCTGGCTTACATACATCATCAAGATCAGCCAGACTTTAACTATCAAGCTTAAGGACATGCATATGGGGGCCGTGCTCCGCGACGGTCTCACACCTACTCATCTTGAGTGTCGCCTCGGAGGACTGCCCTAGACTGAGTACAGTACCCAATCTTCAGGCGTGACAGTAAACTCAACGCCGGCTGTAGAAGACACACCTTTGACACTTCTTTACGGGTCAAATAGCAGCACCCGTGAGTTTCTAGCTCGACGCCTTGCGGCTGATGCTCCGGCCTCTCGCGAAATATCTCAATATTGAGCGGAAAAAGAAACACATTTGGATACTCCTTCTAGACGGCCTTGTTTATAGAACCGGTGATTCCCTTGCTATTTTACCCATTAGCGCGGAGAGAGGTGCTTATCCGGGGCAGAGTCAGTAAGACGGCGGACGAAGGCGTGAAGGAAACGGGCCTAGATTGGATTAGATTAGTTGGCTGCGGGTCCTAGACCGGATAAAGTGGGTTTAAGGCTGAGCGATGTACGATGGAAAGGGGTTGGCTTACAAACTAGAAGCTCTCCATGTTCGTCAGAACAAAGGCCACCGCCAAGGTTTTGAAGATGAGGTACGACATCACAACGTGCCCATATGAGACCAGAGTACTCTAGACACTTCCCGTAGTTCTTAACTACCCAGGCTTCTTGAGAAATGAATAAAGTTGTGTGACGGTGCTGGGTGCCGAGATCTGAGCACGGGAGACGAGATGTGGATATCAAAGTACAACCTTACACGTCTCTAGATAGCCCTCAAACAAGATCAATTTTTGTTGGGATCCGTTGGTCAGTGATTTGTTGAAAGTATTCTAACTCCTCCATGCAAGATTCAGAAGCCTCGGCTTGTCAAAAAGATCGACTCGAGCTACGCCCTAATTTCAGCCCTTAAGAAATAGTTGTCTCTAGCGGGAACAGCCGCTAAGGGTCCTAGACCTACCTTAGGTAGTGTCAATGAATCTATGCATCTTGAAGTAAAGCTTTGATTGGCTATCATTCTTCGTAAAGTACCTCCTCCACTTACACAGGCCCTGGTATAGGTATTCCTTATTTGGGCCCCACCATTGAACCCGGAACACCGGGAGCGGTTTGGTCGTGGTTATTTATGCAATCCGAAGTGCCGGTGACGGGGCCAAGTTAGATACAGGCCGATTCGATGGGATGAAGACGAGTTCTGGGTATGTATTACTTGGCGTAGTTTTCACATGACGGCTCTATAAGATACCTCGGCACTCTCCTCCGTCGGCCACTATGGAAGGGCTGTCCAACATAGCGAATCAGTCTCCGTGAGGTGAGCTGACGAAGCACGGACGGGTTATCACAAGTTCACCCCCAGGCTGGATTGGCTCGATATGACAGTATGAGTACCTAGTTGTTTAGAAACTTGGTGTTAGTTATGTATCATAAGAAACAAATAAACATTCATGAAGAGGTGTATCGATAATCCGATGTCTTGAATCTCTTAACTTCATATATGGCCACTGGGCGAGACGCTTTTCTAAACGAAACTTAGTTGAAGTTTTGGCTAGGCTGCCGAACTTGATATTACCACGTTATTATAGTCGTCATCAAGATGAGCTCCACCACTACTCCCCCGGCCTCCTACTCATCGCTTCCCTTCAAAGACATCACCGTCTCTCACGTCCCTGCTAATTCCACAACTGCAACCAAAGTTCTCATCTTAGCCTTCAACCGCCCCGAGAAGTACAATGCCGTGACTGAGAATCTGCTGACTGAGGTCGAGAGCGTCTATAATCTTGTTAATACCGACGAGCGGGTCCGCGCCGTCATCCTCACCGGTGCTGGCCCCGCCTTCTGTGCTGGAGCTGACTTGGAGGTTGGTTTCGCCGGCCTACTTGCGCACAAGGAGAGCGAAGAGTCAATCAACAGGTTTAGGGACCAGTAAGTCACACTGTCCTAGCTGCCTCTACTCGATCACCACAGCTAAGCGGGAATAGAGGTGGTCGTGTCGCTCTGGCCATAACAAGGTGCATTAAGCCTACCGTCGTCGCCTTAAACGGTCCTGCTGCTGGCTTTGGCCTTACTATCACACTCCCTGCCACAATCCGCGTCGCTTGGTCAGGCGCAAAAGTAGCACTCCCCTTTTCCCGACGAGGACTAACGCTCGAATCATGCAGCGCGTTCTTCCTGCCTCGCCTTGTTGGGCTGTCAAACGCTATGCACCTCGCCACCACGGGTTCTACTTATCTCGCATCGGATCCTCTGGTCAGTGGGCTGTTCTCGAAGCTTCTCCCCACTCCTCAGGAGACGGTCTCGTACGCAATTGACCTTGCAACCGACATCGCGGAGAACACTTCGGTAGCCAGCACAAAGCTAATCCGGGATATGATGCTCTACTGCCCTGCTACGCCGGAAGACACCCATGTGCTGGATTCAAGGGTCTTCATCTCTATTGTCGGTTCGAGGGATAACATGGAGGGGGTGAAGAGTTTCATGAAGAAGAGGAAGCCGCAGTTTAGCGGGGCGATGGATGAGAATGAATTTCCTTTCTGGCCCTGGTGGAATGCTGGGGAAAGGGATTTCACACGCCAGGCTGACGGCAAACTCAAAGCAAATATCTGATACATGACTACCTAGGTACTTTTTATGATCTGTTCTGAATATCTGGTCTACTCTTTCTTCAAGGACTAGACTTCGCCCATAAGCAGCCTATTCCTTGAGTAGGTACCTAAGGCTTCTAAGTAGTGATATAGGAAGAAACATCCGACCCTAAAAATGGCTTGACCAATTTTGCGAGCAACTATAATTACCTACCTACTCAGTATTGTCTGATAACCAGTGTCATGCCTGGCTTCAACGGTTTATTTTTCTCTAGAGTGCTCCTATTTCTAGGGTGTTGAGATACAAAACCGCTGCTCCGTAGGCTAGTACTACACACCTTCTAGCATTTGTGCTACGTATAGTGGAATTTGAGTCTCGTTCTATCGCGATATAGGAACTACCTCGGTGTATTAGACGGGTGGTATAGGCATGTTAACAGTTTTCCTGTGCCCAACTTCAAGATCGTCTGCAGCCATGCTACGACTGCCAAGGTGACATAACAGAACATTCCACCCTAAGAATTAAAACACATCTCCAAGTTTAGGCCAACCAGGAAGAGTACCTAGTTTACTACAGAGATCTTAGCCATTCGCAATCTGACGGTTGTTTTCACATGATTGAGTGAGATCATGTCAAGGAAGCGTTACAAGCCCCAAGTTTAACACTCCTTGCTGACGACTGTTACATAATAAATGTATTATCCCCGAGGCAATAGCATCGCATGCAGCATGTCTGTCTGCAACATAGACCTCTTTCACAATACACAATGTTTTCCACGTCACGCTTCTCGAGAGCGTTACAGTCAACCTATCACTTAACACCCGAGGTTTTTAACGCAATTCGCCAGCGGCAATTATAGAAGAATATAATACGACATGTGAATCCGAAGACGTTTTAAGTGCCGAGCGTTCTCATTAGTTTATTGGTTATAGTGACCGTAACTGATTAATCATTATATACCTTATCCCTGTGACATTGGATAGTTTCACAATGCTTTATGGAAGAATGTCAAGGCTAACGTGAAAATACTTGCTGTTGACTCGACTATTCCGGAGGTTGATCTACAGGTATGTTTTAATTGGGGCCTGATAAGGCTGTGCCTCGGCTGTTTTCTGTTGAGTTTCTTGAAATGCAATTGGAAATGCTTGCCGTTAGATGAGGGGTTGATTTTCGGATTCCCCAACATTCATCGCTAGTGGAGAAGAGATAATTAATAGATATAAGTGTGGATGATGGAGTGTGAGTTAACTCAGTCTCATAGCACTAAGAGTAAATGACTAAATAGACTGGACTATGTTTTTTTCGGGAGCAGCTATCAACAACCTCACATTTGGTCACCCATCATGGCACAGTTATTCCTTACTGGGAATTTGCCTGGCTGGCTACTTGTTGATTGTCAGATACCTTCGTTACCGCCGGAAATCGGACATTGAAGCCCCTTTTGTGAAAGGAAACCGGCCTCTCTCGAGTATGACTACCGAAGAAGCCTATGAAATCATGATGCAGCTGCAAGAGCTCGAATTCCCGTACGCATTCGCAAAAGCTCGCAAGATTGCACTGCTTAAAGTAGGTTTCTCGACATGTTGAGCCATTCGTTGACATTTATGATGCCTCAGATAGCTAACGATATAATTACTTTCAGGCTGGAGGCATCCCGACCATGTCTAAACTCTTCGCCGTCACAGGTCAAAACGCCAAACGTAACGCAGGGAGGCGCTCCGTCGACACTGAGGTTCTTCTTCGAGAATCACAGTCCAAGCGTCGGGACTCGGAGCGTTATGCTATGGCCGTGGCAAGGGTGAACTACCTGTAATCATGACAGCTGAATATCTTTAAAAAGTATACTCCCTTCATTTGCTAATCTTCTGTCCTGTAGCCATTCACGTTACCGACGCGCCGCCAAAATCACTGACCCCGATCTGCTCCACACTCTCGGTGACGGTCTTGCTGAGATCTTAAATGTCGTGAATAGAGAAGAATGGCGCAAGTTGACTGACGTCGAGGTGTGCGCCGCTGGTGTTTTCCACAAGAATCTGGGAGAAGATATGGAGATACCATTCACCCCATTACCGTCAAGCGTAGAAGGGTGGAAAGATGGTTTACATTTCGCGAGGGAGCTGAGAGACTGGACAGTCCGATATGAGGAAGATGTGGCAATGGCCACACCAACAAACGACCAGTATGTTAGGGTATATGTTGATTCAGCTGTCGCAACTTTGCCTGGAGTCGTCAGGACAACTTTGAGGAAGGTTTTAGCGGATAACCTAGACGACGTTATGAGGACGAGCCTCTGGTAAGTTTATCAAGAACACCCTAACCGTTGAGCTGAAGTATATTGGGACATCAAGAATATTAATAGGGAAGTTTTGCAGTTTGGAGGCACCTGGCCCGATTCTCTCGTCTCTCCTGGCCATAGTTCGCAATATTCGAATAGTATTCCTTCGGTACGCGGCACTACCGCGTCCGTCTTCCCTCCCCGTGAAGATGGTCGACGATTTACCGAACCCGAAGACTGGGCTATATAATTTCGAACGGAAAACCTTGCAGCCGTGGTATGTAAGACCAACATTTTGGTCAATTTGGGGACCTGGTGCCTTCCTCATCAAGCTGCTTGGTGGGAGATTGCCTGGCTCGGGGGGAGACCGGTATATCCCCCAAGGCTATGACTTGATGACAATTGGGCCAGAACCGCAGAACGGCAAGGGGTCTGAGGACATGATTGCAAATGTACAGATCATTAGGGGTAAGGGAGTAGCAACATGTCCATTCTCGCAGGCGAAAGGTGGCGCTTTTTGAGGGACTTAAGCGAGTTATGGGTGGAAGAACTATCGACATCGCAATGAAAATAGGCCTGAGCTATACAGGGATGAAATTAAGAACAATTCCATAATGTAAAATGGCGCTAGTATTTTGAATCTAACTTACTGAGACTATTAATAGGTAGGTACCTAGCTTCATAATTCGCCAAAAATCTTATGAGTGAAATCTAGGTATTGTCGCTGGTGAGGGCTGCGAAACTAAATCGAGAACTGGTGTTACCCATTATGGGAATTTACATGCATGTTGGGGCTATATAAGGCAGGCTGCACAAGTGCACGATGCGACTATTGGCTGTACTAGTCAGCTTGCATCTCGATCTAGGATCATGAACCATTCATATTCCTTGACTATATTACTATCACACCCTCTTTCGAAGAACCGCACCATTACAGTGGCATCAAATCGCCAAGTTGTAACCTTGCTGAGGGGTATTATTATATCTCCTCTAAGCCACACCGCTGTGTACCAACTTGCGGATTACTGCTAAGGGCTCAAAGCATTGTTTAAGTCCTCGCCATGTCGTGGGATCTCCAAGATTCCGCTTAGCAACCTTATTCACGACATATGGCAAGATTTTGAACCGCTTTTACTCAATGAAAGGATGTCTGGTGTCCGCCGCAGTGAGTTCGCCCCGATTCCACAAGAGGAACATGTTAGCGAACAACAACCACATCGGAAATGGACACCAAAAAGCCATTTTCGCAGCCAGGTGCAGCAGGTACTTCGACAAAGCACTATACAGCAAGAAAAGGATCAAGAAAGCACCCGTACCTCGCCCGCTTTTTCAGATTCATCACTCATCGGTGGTGATTATTTAGATGTACCGCTAAGGCGTGATGAAGTGAACATTGGAGGGTACGTGGAGTATTGCGATGGATATTACGGCCCTGAAGCTACAGGTCTCTCACCAATATCAAGTGCTAGAGCTGGTCTCGGGCTGGAAGTTCTTTCTGAACCCGTGGCCCCTTACCTCTCTTCTGGGGGACTTCCTGTTGATGATAATTGCCATGGCATAAGCTACTGTGGATCTGAAGGGAGGACCGAGGAAGAAGATAAATATGAGAAAAGGAACTATAAACCCCTTTTCTTAAGAGGGACGATTTTAGTTGTCCTTTCCTTAACTCTAGCTATCCTTATTGTGTTAGCTGAAGTTGCGATTCAATGTCTTCCAAATGATTCAGGGGTTAACCCATTCTCTCAACAATACGAACACACTACGAAAATCTACCATCGACTCAACTCTGAAATTAAGATTCATGCCCCTAGCAATCTAGCTCATTTCAAACGCCAGAACGAAACTAGGCCGGTGACAACCATACCTACACTTACTGAAGTTACGTCTTGTACCATTCCCGAGGCTACACCATCCTCAAGTTTAACATCACAAATAACAACAGTACCTCCAGTAGGAGGAGGGACAACAACTGAGATATCAACATCAACGGTACCAATTATAACTCCGCCGTCAGGGCCCCAACCGTCGCGTCCAACATCGACTTCGAAAGTTTCTCCTCCGCCTTTACCATCAATCACCTCTTCATCTGAATCTTTTCCATCACCTCCCTTTACACCACCTATACCACCAGTTCCACCAGCTCCATCGTCTACACTAAAGTCCTCGTCATCGGTTACATTACCAGGAACACAGGATCCTACGGGACCACATGAAAGTTCATCGCCGGGGAATCAGTGGCCGTGGCCTACGTCAAATCATCCAGGCCGTCCAGACCATTCAGGTCAACCTCCAATACTAGATCCACCTACTTCACAGCTTACAAGTTCTGATAAAACTTCTATGCCTTCCACACCATCATCGTCCTCGCGGCCGACAGCGCCAGACCCTCCTACTAGCGCCGATCCAACAGAGACAGAACCTACATTGACGTCATCCACAGGTCCCGATCCTACTTGGACAGGCCCTACGACAACGATACCCACGCGACCACCACCACCACCGCCGCCGCCGCCGACGACGACTTCATCTAGCGTAACTAAACCGAACCCACCTCCAGCTTCAACCACAGGCCTTCCATTTTCGACCTCAACGGGGTCTCTTGGAACCGCGACAGAACCCCCAGGGACTACTACACGTCTGCCAATCAGCTCGTCTAACATACAATCTTCGAGTACAACTACTCCAATTAAAACTACAGGGGAGTCCCCAAGTGGTCCGTCAACACAAACAAAACCCGCGTCTTCTAGCAGCTTGACTAGCGAAAAGACATCCATAACAACTAGCACGATGGCTAGTAACACTAGGTACACCTCAGGATCTTCGTCTTCAACATATTCTAAATCTCAAGCTGTAACAACATCTCCGTCTAGCACGACTGCAGGTAACATCCCAACTCGGACATCGCAACCACCACCGTCGATATCTAAAACGACAGAGACTGGATTACCGGAGCCTTTCCTAACGATTACTAATATTCCTGAGGGGCCGTCACCGCCTCCGCCTATAACTACAACAATAACTACTTCGACTACTCGAGATGGCGTAGCTTTCATAACTACTTTCGTCAAGGGGATAAAAGCCGAACTGGATGCTTCAGTCACGAAGTACGTTACTACATATACGGACTCCCATGGCAACCCAACTCGAACGGAGACCATCTTGGCACAAGCATCTATGGAAACAATCATCTATAACGATGATCATGGAAAACCTACTCGCACAGGGACGCAGGTCGTGCTTCGCTACCCAAGTAAGACGACTCTAACAGATTATCAAGGACAGGCAACATTAACCCAGGATTATTATCTTGGTCTATCTACGGAGGTTCTATACGACGATGTTGGTCATCCAACGGCCACTAAGACATCTATGGTTACGGAAATTGCCATGCTAACTACCCTTTTTAACGGGAACGGTGCAGCAACCCTAACAGAAACTGAGCTTGTCCCCCTATCTTTAACAACAACGGTTTTTGCAACGCCAACTTCGGAAGTCTCGCCGAGCTCCAAAGGTGAGAAGGCATTAAGTATCGTCCCCATTTCCAACGGAAAATATTTCTTAGGCCTTATGATTCCTACGTTTATCGCGATTGCTGTATCGATTCCGATCAGGATAATCGACCAAAATGCAAGGCTCTACCATCCATTCCACGCACTGACGGCAACTCGAGGGGCACTAGCTCGTGACACTCTATGTTTTCAGACCTCAAGTATATGGAACATCAAGGCACGCTTTCGCTCACTGCTAAATGGGGAAAGCCTCCTTACCCTAACCGGGCTTTTGGTATTGGGAAGTGTGATTATGGTCCCGCTGACCTCCGAATCTGTCCGTATAATCCTAGGGGGTCCGAACTGTGCGGGGCCAAGAGGAGACTCCTCTGTCTGTACCATGGCCCTTGGTGTCAACCCAGTGCCAGCCCAAGTCGCCGTGGCGTTCCTAGCCTTTATGACTGTTCTCGTCGGGCTAACTGCGATTGTGCTTCGAAAATGGAAGACGGGATTAAGTTGGAATCCTTGGAGTTTATTCCACATGGGACACCTTGCGGCGAACAATGAAATTCGCACCTTGCTATTGCGGCGCCTGCATGAAAAGAACGGCCGGATAACATACGAATATGTAACCAAGGCATTGGCAGGGGTGTCCTTTACTTTGGACTCCTATAGAGACAATGGGGAGCTTAAATATGGTTTACTCATCCCAAATGAGGTACAGTCTTCGAGAGGGGGTGGCAAGTCAGTAGCTTTTGCAGGGGGAAAAACTTCTCGGCGGCGGAGGAAAGGTGATTATATGCCCTTCTTTATCCTCACATGGACCGGGAGGCTACTTTTCCTAGCTTTATTATGTGGTGTGATGATCGGCTTAATGGTATATACCATTACGGGGGACGGCCAGGACTACACACAATTTATGATGGGTAGATGGCGCGTTGTGCGGTTTATGTTCACTACGATTGGCGTTTTGATCTCAATAATATGGGGATCGTTCTTCTATGGTGAGTTCAACGAACTATTTCCGTCTTTGGATTGTCATGCTAACAAGCTTCACTAGCCGTCGCGTTTCTTAGTCCTCATAAACTACTGTACCGGATACGACTTTATAACGGAGAAGCCGCATATATAACACCATCAACTAACCCCTTTACCGGCATTTGGTCATCGCTGGCACCCGGACGCCGAGACGTCTATCTCGGGCTCGTATGTGCTACCTCGATCTTATCCGAGATCCTCCCGTTGCTTTTAAGTACCGCCTTGGACAAATGTACCGAAAGATTCTGGGCACATACGGTTTGCCTCTGGATGGCAGTAGGTGTATTAACCACCATGATTTCTGTGGTTGGGTTTTCCTTCTTTGTGACTTGGCCACATATGCCAATCGACCCCAGCACGATAGCTGGCGAGATGTATTATGCTTTAACCAACTTTGTATCTATGGGTCCGTCGGCGGGGCTGGTCTTTGGTAAAGCGAGTCTAGGTCTCGTTTAGGGTGGTCGTCGGGAGGGATAGGTAGTCTGAATAAGGAGAGCATCTCCCCCCTGTCCTTGGAATAGGGCAAGCGATAAAATAATCACCAATATTGACCCATAGGGATTCACATTAGGATTACTGCATGTATTTTAAGTGAATATTTATACGTCTACAGGCCTAACACTCGTGCAATCTCATATTTAGTGTATGCCATATAGCTGTGTACATTCCTGCCAGTACTTGGATCTCCTCATCAATTGTGCCTATCTTGGTGCCTTGTTTGGTGGTACTTGAGACCCTTTTCCGCACGGTCAATAGCACGCTTAGTGGCCTCATAAAGATCCTCTTCGGGAAGACCCAGGACATCGTTAGCAACGGTTCCATATTTACCCTCGAAGTCGTTACAGCCGTCCCGAAAGACTCTACTGTAGAGAAGTTGAGGGTAGGCTAGCGTCTCGCCACCAAACAGTCGTTTTCTCGCGTCTTGGAAACGCTTATCGCTTTCCTCGTACTCGATTTTCCAGTCCGACTCTTTGGTCCCTGTAGCATGGAGAACAGCGGCGAACATGTCTTTTTGGCTAAGATGGAATGAAGACACGTATACAAACTTGTTCTTGTAACTCGACAAGTTCGGGACCCCTTTCTTCTCAGGTTCAATTGGCAAAGAGAGTAGCTTGGCTACGGCTCTTCCTACCTGCGGCCAGGTCTGTATGTGATCTTGTTAGCATGCCGTAGACAAAGGGAAAGCTAATAGGTTATACCCACAGTGGTGTTCATCTTGGTTTCGCCGTTATCGAAAAATGTCCAAGTCCGTGTCTTCCACTCCATACCGTACGTTTCTTTTCCAAAGCCGAGGCTATACTCGTACCAAAACCCCGTTACCACACCTATCCATGAACTCTTGCCTAACTCCTCGACTAAATTTCGCGAGGAAAGTTCAATATCCCCTATGAGGACGTCTTTTCCCAAGGCTTCGTCTGCCATGTCGCATCCCCATTCATTGGGTAATACGAAAGGTACGTTAGCAGCGGCGGCAGCACGAATAAGCTTTGACTGCGTATCTGGGGAAGCCCTCGTGTCCATGGTAATAATAAGTGCATTCTGACCCTTTAATCCATTCACCAATGTTGATTCTTCGTCGTAGTCCACCTTGACGACCTTTACCCCTTCAGGGACGGAATTAGCGGCCGAGCTGCTCTTACGTGTGATAGCAGTAATCTCATGCTTCCCTAGCTTCAGAAGCTCTTCTACGATGAATGATCCAACCGTTCCGGTTGCCTATTATATAGGAAGGACTGGTTAGTAAAGGTCTAGTACAGCAGATACACAAGATATAGGCCTATAAGTAGATAGGTAGCCACTTACTCCAACAATCGCAACCTTCTTGACGTACTTTCTCTGAGACATGACAACTTAGGTCGGCTCTTTCTGGGATTATTATCTGTTCAAGTCGAAGAAAGGAGTGCTGATTTTGCTTGATATGATGAGCTTTCGTTGTGTAGATGAAGGTAAAACAAGCAGGCTTTGGTCTCACTTTATATATGCGGGATCAAGCATTATTTATATTATTCTTCGGTACCTAGCGGGTAGCGTTTCTAACCTACTCTAGGAGCGGTCTTGCTTTCAAGCTCTACGAGTCATTCCTTACCATGTTAGAGTTTCGGAGCCTTAGCGGACTTAACAGCTACATCCCTTATCGGGATTAATGGACATAATTTACTGACACTCATACGCTACGCATCGGAGTTAATTAATTACCCAATTCGGAATCCTGGCCTGCTTCCTTCCCACCCACTGACGCTTCTTGGTCAACTAAAATAGCCAATGAGGTAGTTCTCTTATATTCACATACTAAGGGTGGGCTAAAAATTCGGTCTTTGCGAGAACGCGAGAATTACGTAACTAGTTTCGAGCTCATACTTCGCCCTTCAAGCTTCGATGATTTGGAAGTCTAGCTTATAAATCGGGCCTATAGGAGTTGGTTACCACTGAAAGGAACGGCATATGACTCGTATGGGTGGCTTGATTAACTAATAAAACTTCATGGGTAGAGGGTAAGCCTGATTTGCATATATATATGTCCTCGCTAATATGTCTAGTACTGTATCTAGCAGCAGTCCCTTTGATAACTCATTTCAGCAGTCACCAGAAGGTAGCGTTCAAGTACACCACGGATTATACCAGCAAGGGTTTATATATATGAGCCCGTTTAGGTACTCTTATGACGTATGCAGAGAGTGAGTTGATAAGCTCACTAAATTGTTTTTCCTTCGGAGATAAGAGCCCCTATTCTTCAATCAGGGAGAATATATCTAATATGGGGGCTTTACTTTCGATTTATATTGTAACCAGGAGCATGAATACCTGCACAACTTCTCGTTCAAACACTTCATTTATCTAAATAACTTCGGGATCAGTATAAAGGATTTGAAGCAGCGAATACCTATTGTTTGTAAACTCAGACTATAATTGTGGTCTGAGTCACGGTGGTTGATAATAGGCCAATTTTGGCCAATGTCAAAAGACGTGATGTATAAATAATCGCAAAGCGAAGTTTAAAGTATTCGGAAGTAGATAACTGTTAATTCTAATCCTGAGCGTTTTCAGAAGTGTTGCAGCCTTTGTTCGTAAAATTATTGAAGAGTACCTACACGTTACGTCTTTTGCTATTAGCTAAAACTGGCTTATAATCGACCGTCGTGTGAGAATTCCCACGTAATAAAGCTTAGGAAGGCCTTGGCGATAATGTCATTGGACTCGATTTGTTAGATAGGTGTCTATGTACTGTTACATAGAGTAAATAGTAAATACTAGCCTAGCACGCCCCTTATGCCCCTAAGGAGGCTGTGGACTAGCAATCAGCTGTTCCCCCGGGCGTTAGATAACAACAATAGTCGTACCCCTTTACGTAGGGGCACTTGCTATTAATATGCAGGCTTGCTTCACTGGTCCTTGCGACGTTCAAGGTGTATGTTCAAGGGTGGCTTATCCCACAAGACCCACATCTGCTGGTCCTTAACCCAGTCTTTATCTGCTTCGTTGACAAACGAGATGTCGTAGTTCCAAACGAGCCTCGCCAGAATCAATCTCATCTCTGCGTATGCAAGACTAGAGATTATTGTTAATACTTTTCATAGACAGGGATACGCTTTCTTCGCTCTAAAACTTACTTCCTGCCCAAGCAGTTCCGTCCTCCAGTGGAAAAGGGTTGGAAAGCATCCTTGTTGTCATTCGCAAACCGTGGGTCGCCTAGCCATCGTTCAGGAATGAATGATTCTGCCAAGGCGAAGTTACTTTCGCTGTGGTACATAGGCCAATGCCAGATGTCCACGATAGTCTGTGTTGAGAAGTTAGTTCCCAATCGCTGCGATACTAGTAGGTCTGGTGACTCACGCCCTGGGGAAGATATGTATCGCAGATTGTAGCACCTCCTTGGTGGATCAGACGTGGCGCGGAAGCGGGTGCCGCAGGATAGATTCGCAAACCCTCGTCAATGACTGCCGTCATGTATTTGAGTCTCTGGACGCTGACAAGAGTGATTTCGGCCTCGGTGCTAAATGCCGACAAGACCTCATCGCGAAGTTTAGCCAGCACTCGAGGATGCGCACATAGTAGGGACGTTATGCCACATAGCCTATAAATTTCGGTCAGAGTGCGGCCTCGAAACAAAAGCGGTAACTTACGTGGTTGCAGTCGTCTCAGAACCAGCCACAATCAAGACACTCGCGTTATGCTGCAGTTCTTTGAGAGATAATTTCTAGGGCAAAGATAAGAATTGGAAGTCTTCCGGACCGACAGAATATTCCCATACCTGTTTGCCATCTGGACCTGGCGCGGTCATGGCGTCCATAAAGTCAGGTCGTTCGGACTGTAAAGCCAGTCGCTTATCAACTTTGATCTCAACCAACTCGTCGTGCGCCCGTATTTTCTTCGCAGCGAACGTTTGAAGTATCGGGCTAATGGCGGCATTCAGGGTTGGGTAAGCTCGTCGCAGTTGCGCCAACATCTGGATCTCCTTGAATTGTTCAAATACCATGGCAACCCAGGTGTGGTAATTCGAATTTTCCAGGCAACCGAAGGGCTCTCCGAATGCCAAATCGCCAATCACGTCGAATGTCAGGTAGTTGAACCACTTAACCACGTCAATGGGCTTGCCGCTAAGATGGTGTTCCCTCAATCGCTCAAAGAAAAGATCGATGTAACCCCCGATCAGAGATTCTTGCTTGATCATGCTTTGTGCAGAGAACCCACCAGCAAGTACCCGGCGAATTCGAGTATGGTTCTCGGAATCTGCGGCGACAACGCTATGGGAGATCGCTTGGAAGAAGGAGGGCTCTTTAGGATTTTCTGGCTGTCCTGCCTTGCGATGGCCATACACTTGCCTCCATGCGTCATGATTGAGTAAAGAGACTGACTTGGGTCCCGTACGCACGACATCACCATACTTTTGGTGCAGCGCAAGAATCGTTTTGTGAGGCGTCCCGAAACATTGCGTAAGACCTTGGGGAAGGGGTGAGATTGCCCACAGTATTGGGCCTGGAACCTTACGAAGGGGACTAAAGAAGAGATTGTATATGACGGCCCACATCATATATCCCAGCACCTATGTATTACAGGTCAGTTGAGTTTGATTCTTCTACAGTAAGTTAGGGAGTGGTCTCACAAGACAGGCAAGCAACGCTGCAAGGCGCGGCATCACAGGCTTATCCGTAGACAGCATTAAAGTGTCTGTTATCGCGACCATGATGGTTATTGTTTTCAAAGTTAAAGACTCTGTTTTGAAGAGAGTCGAGCAGAAGTCTCATGGCTTGTTGAGAGAGTTTATGAGTTGCGACTGCAATTGAAAAGCGATAGTTGTCTCATTATAAACATCCCGGGTCTACTTATGAACCCTGATGCTTAAAAGAGGATATTAAGCTAAAATTGTCAACTCTATAGAATTTGACCGGGGCTCGTAACGGTATGTGTTAATAGTTAGGTAATACAATTAGAACAGTTCGAATACTTGACATCCTATACAAATCGTACCTGACACTAAGTATTCAAAATGTATTACCTAAAGCTACCTAATCATATAACTACTTGGTACCTATTTATTTGTAATAGTTCCCTGCCAATTAGTCCAACGTTTTGATTAACAATGAAATAAGTATCGACGGTATGCGGGGCTTTGGTGCTAGGCATACGACAAAACAAGCTTGGCCCGGCTGAACTACCGAATCACTAACCTAGTTAGAAACCGGGCCCGTAGTCGCATAGTGCTAAGTGCCCGAAATTCCGAACGGGGGTTCCAGAGCGGATAATTACAAATCCGGGCCCCCGATACGGCTCATAGCCAGTTGCCCCGGTGTCAAGGCCACCGTGCGCACAAACCAGGCTTAGGTACTCATAGGCTATTCTTAGAACGTCATGTTCTACTGTGTGAATCTATATATGATTGCGCCCACTAAAGGGGCTACCTACCTTATCTCAGCAAACTTAGACCCTGACTGATCACGACCTGCACGCCCATGGAGCCAATCCCCTCTAAGAATTCAATACGGTAATTGCAGGGTCCCATCCCGAATATCCCACTCTAGAGTCCTACGGCGCCTATAGCGCCTTTGCCAGAGGGGGCGAAAATCTCATGTATCTGGGAGGCAACGGCTTTTACTGGGCCAGTGCTCTTGACGCTGCTCGTCCACATCGATTAGAGGTGCGCCGAGGTAACATTGAAATCCACCCTTATAGTCTTCTAGGGGGGCACACCAACAGCCTCAACGGACAGCGAGGCGGTTTGTGGAGGTCTCACGGCATGAGTTGCAATAAGTTATTGGGGGTCGACTTTTGCGCCCAGGGAACCGGTCTGGCTGTACCTTATAGGGGGGACCTAGGCTTCCAGGGATCACAAGCTGTCTTGGATGTTTACGGACCTGACCTACCCCGCGCTGAATACTCTCGGGACCCAAGCGAATTTGATTCTCAGTGACGTTGATGGGATATCATTACGTAAGGATAGTCACGTGGTGACACGTGACTATTCCCCACACAAAAGGCAATTCTTTCTAGGTAGCATCCACATACGTAATCCATACAATAACATCATCAATCAGTACAATAACATTATCTCAGGTAACCTCAGACCCGATATGCCCTGAGTTTACGAAGGGTTATTGTGTCGAATTTTTTTTCTATGGAAGCTCGTCCGGATTAGGAAATGGAAATTGCCTATTTGGGATTTGAGAATTACCGGAATAAGAAGAATCCTGGTCGATTTGGTAGATGTTAATTGGGTGCATTCTGGAGAAAGTGGGGTTTTGGTCGATTTTATTGAATGTTGATTGGGTGTATCCTGAAAAGAGTGGGGTTTTGGTCGATGTTGATTGGGTGCATTTTGAAAGAAGTGGAGTTTTGGTCGAGTTTTGAGCGAATAACAAGCCACAGCCACGGCCGCAGCCAAGGCCAAGGCTATAGCCAAGGCCACAGCCAAGGCTAGCCACAGCTACAAGGCTCCGGGATGTGGCTTGTGCGGCCGAAGGCCGCCCATAGGATACCGGGTCGGCGGAGCGTTTCGGCAAAGCCGAAACGCGGAGACCGACCCGCTTACGTAGCAGGCAAAAGTGCAGCGCAAAGCGCCGCACTTTTGCCTGCGAAGTAATGCGTTAAAAAAGGGACAGGTGCGAGGTCCAGGAATCGAATCGTGGACCTGGCGATTGGTGTGTGGTATGGCTATGTGGTTACGTGGCTATGTGGCTATGTGGCTATTAGTCACGGGGATGGTCACGGGATTGGCCAAGGCTAGCCACGGGTGTGGCGGCACGTGATTGTTACGTGATAATACTGGCGCATTACGTAAACTCAGGGCTATTGTGCAATCCAGCGGGGTTGCCTCTTATTTTTTTTCTATGGGAGTTCGTCCGGATTAGGAAATGGAAATTGCCTATTTGGGATTTGAGAATTACCGGAATAGGAAGGATCCTGGTCGATTCGGTAGATGTTGATTGGGTGCATCTTGGAGAAAGTGGGGTTTTGGTCGATTTTTCAGCGGATGGTGATTATGTAAGCATGCTGACCTGACCTGGCTAGCCACAGCCACAGCCACAGCCACAGCCGTACGGTTAACCACGGCCACAAGGTTAGCCACGGGGCTGGTTACAGGGCTAGCTACAGCCACAAGGCTGGCTGGCCACGGCTACAGGGCTGGTCACGGGGATGGCTACAGCCACAAGACTGGTTACGGGACTGGCCACGGCTATAGGGCTGGTCACAAGGTTAGCCATAAAGCTAGCCACGGCCACAGGGCTGATTACGAGGCTAGCCACGGGATTGGCTAGGGCTAGCCACAGTTACAAGGCTTGTCACGGGGCTGGTTACGGGGCTAGCTACGGTTATAAGGCTTATTACAAGACTGGCCACGGTTACAGGGCTAATTACGGGATTGGTCACGGTTACAGGACTAGCCACACAGTTGGCTACAGCCACAGGGCTAGTCACAGGGCTAGCTATAAAGCTAGCCACGGTTATAAGGCCTGTTACAGGATTGGCCACAGTTATAAGGCTGATGACAGGGATGGCCACGGGATTGGCCAGGGCTAGCCACGGTTATAGGGCTGGTTACGGGTTGGTTACAGGGTTAGCCACGGCCACGGGGTTAGCCACGGGGCTGGTTACGGGACTGGCCACGGCTATAAAGCTGGTCACAAGGCTAGCTATAAGATTGGCCAGGGCTAGCCACAGTTATAAGACTGGTTACAAGGCTAGCCACGGCAATAGGCCTGGTTACGGGGCTAGCTACGGCTATAAGGCTAGTTACGGGGCTGGTTACGGGGCTGGTCACGGGGTTAGCTATGGCTATAAGGCTAGTTACGAGGCTAGTTACGAGGCTGGCTACGGGGCTAGCTACGGCCACAGCCATAGCCATAAGGCTAGTTACAGTTATAAGGCTGGTCACGGGGATGGCTACGGCTATAGGGCTGGTCACGGCTATAAGGCTTATTACAGGACTGGCCACGGCTATAAGGCTAATTACGGGACTGGTTACGGGGCTGGCCACGGCCACAAGGCCTGTTACAGGACTAGCCACGGTCACAAGGCTGGTTACGAGACTGGCCACAGTTACAGGGCTGGTTACGGGGATGGCCACAGGATAGGGCTGGTTACGGCCACAAGGTTGGTTACGGCCACAAGGCTGGTTACGGGGCTAGTTATAAGGCTAGCCACGAGATTGGATAAGGCTGGTCACGGTTACGAGGTTAGTCATAAAAGTAGCCACAAGATTGGTTAAGGTTAATGACAGTTACAAAGCTGGTTACGGGGCTAGTCACGGGATTGGTCACGGGATTGGTCACGGGATTTGCCAAGACTAGCCACAGGGCTAGCCACGTACGTGGCGACACGTGATAATACTGGCGCATTACGTAAACTCAGGGCTATTGTGCAATCCAGCGGGGTTGCCTCCTGTTTTCGAGGCGGGCTTCGCCCGCTTGCTTTGCTCGCCCCGGCGCCACAGGCGCCACGCAACGCGTGGTCCGTATATTTATACTTATAGATCACAAACAAAACATTCGAAAATATCTGGTTTAAGGTTATATAACGTTGCAAAGGTTTTTAACGTTTTTGTTAATAATGAAAAAACCAAACATTATATTTACAATAATTTAATATATTATAATAATATACGAAATAACTTTAATTTTAATAATTTAAAGTTAATAATATATTTTTTTTAATTTTTTATTTTTTTTATATATTTATATAACATCGCGTTTTTATATATTAAACTTTAACGTTTAAAAATTTTTAACATTTTACACGTAATATATTAAAAATACCGTAATTAATATTACAATTAATATTTACAATTATAACTATAATTATAATTATAATTATATATAAAATTTTATTTATTTTAATAATTTAAAATTAATAATATTATTATTTAAACCTTTTAATTTTTTTTATTAAATTTTAACATTTATTATAATTATTATTACAATTATTATTATAATTAACGTTATAACCGGTTTTATAATTAATTTTATAATTAATATTAATTATTTAACATTTTAAAAAATTTAAAACGTATAAATTTAATTAATAAATTTAATAATAAAGTTAATAATTATTATATAATCAATTATTACTTATTATAAAAACGCGTTAATATTATTATTTTTAATAATATTATTAATATTATTATTTTAAAAAATTAAACGTATATTTTTAATATACGAAGTTTTAAAACTATTTTAAACCATAAATTCAAAATTGTTTTAAAAAGTTGTTCTAAGGTTTAATTAATTAAAAAAAAGTGTGGTTAAAAAAAGTATAACTTTATAAATAATTTTAAATTTATGGTTTAAATTTATTAAAATAACAATAATAATTATCGTAATAACTTTATTTCGTATTATTTTTTTTTTTTTTTTTTATTTATTATAAATATTTTATTATATTTACATTAATTAATGGTTAATTAAAAAATAAAACCATAAATTAATAAAGTTAAAAAAATCATAAAAAACGTTAAACGTTTTTTTTTATTTTTTTTTAATAAAAAAAAATAATAACATTAATAGTTATTATATTATTTTAAAATTTTAAAACTTTTAAATAAATTAAAAAATCCGCGTTTTATCACGTAAATTTTATAACATTTTTATTATATTTATAATTACAAAAATTTTAATATTTAATATAACTTTTTTATAATTTAATATAATTTTAATATAAAATAAATATATCGATAATAATTTTTTAAATATTAAATTTAACATTAATTAATTAAATATATTTTAATTAAATAACGTTTTTTAATTAAATAAAGTAATAATAAAGTAAATTAATACATATTATATAAAAAACTTTACATATTTTAAATATTATAATAATAAATAAAATTAATTGTTATATGTAATTTATATTTTTTTTTTAATTTATTTAATGTATTTAATGTATTTAATGTATTTAATGTATTTAAATTATTTAAATTATTTAATATATTTAATGTATTTAATATATTTAATGTATTTAATGTATTTAATGTATTTAATGTATTTAATGCATTTAATATATTTAATGTATTTAATGTATTTAATGTATTATTATTTTACATTATTTTACATTATTTTTTATAATTTATTTTACATTATTTTTTATAATTTATTTTACATATTTTTTTAATTATTTTAATTGTTTTAATTGTTTTAATTGTTTTAATTATTTTAATTATTTTAATTGTTTTCATTTTTTTAATTTTATTTAATTTTTTTTAAATTCTTGAATTTTTTCCAATTTTCTTTAAATTTTTGTAGATTTTTTCATGTAATTTTTATATCATAATCACTTTAAATAAAACGCCAGGACCAGGACGAAATCCGGTATTTTATTAGTCAATACGCGTTTTAATTTTTCAATTACCTTATCAATTTCCCACAAATATAATGGTCTGTACGCCTCTCAATTCCTTATCAATTACCTTATCAATTTCTCACGGATATGATGGTTTGTACGCTGCTCAATTCCTTATTAATTACCTTATCAATTTCCCACGAATGTGGTGGTCTGTGCGCCTGTCAATTCCTTATCAATTACCTTATCAATATCGCATAAATCTAGTAGTCCGTACGCTTATCAAATTCTTATCAATTCCTTATCAATATTCTTATCAATTACTTACGTAATACTTATCAATTACCTTATCAATTACCTTATCAATTACCTTATCAATTTCCCATAATAATTTTTTAATTAATGTAATATAAAATACCGGATTTCGTCTTAAATAAAATACCGGACTTCGTCCTAAATAATAAAAACGTATAAAATAATTTTAAAAAATTTTTTATAAAATAATAAATAAAACATTTTTAAAAAATAAACTGTTTATTATAATTATTAATAATAAATTATTTTTTATATTATAAAATATATTTTAATAAAAAAAAAATCTTTTTAAAAAAATTAAAAATAATAATTAACATTAAAAAATTTACAAAATTTTTATTTAATAAAAATACGTATTTATTAAAACATTATTTTAATAATTTTATTTTAATAATTAATTTATATTATATTAATAAATTTAATAAAAATATCGTAATAATAATATAATTTAAATTATAAAAAATATATATTTATGTAAAAATAACATTTAAACCATTTTAAATATAAATCATATAATTAAATGAAATAAATGTAAAATAATTAATAATATTAAAATTAATTTTATAAATATAATTAATATTATAATTAATAATATTAAAACCGATTTTACGAAAAATATAACCGATTTTATAAACAATTTTATTAAAACTTAATAAATTTATTACATATATACGTTTAATAAAATTATAAAACATTACCGATTATATTAAAATATATAATAATAATAAATATAAATATAAAAATAAAAAATATAATTTAAAAAATAATATATTAAATAAAAAAATTAAAACCGTTAAAAATTTTTATTATAAAATTAAAATTAATTAATTATATTAAATTTATTATAATATATAATTGTTTTTAATTAATTTAAATTAATAATTTTTATAATTTAATTAAAAATAACTTTATTTTTAATTAAATAACTTTTATTTTAATTATTTTAATTAACCAGTTTTAATTAATTTTAATTAACTTTAATTAATATAATAAAAAATTTAATTATATATTTAATTTATTTAAATTTATTATATATTATTATAATAAATTTAAAACTTATTAACAATTACGTTATAATATAAAAAAAACGGATTAAAAAAAAAAATTTTGTTAATATTAAATTATATATAATTATGTTATATATAAAAAAAAAAAAAAAAAAAAAAAGTTGCTAAAAATAAAATATCATTACGTAAAAATAGTCACGTAATAACACGTAACTATTCCCCACACAAAAAGTAATTTTTTTTAAATAACATCCACATACATAATCCATATAATAATATCATTAATTAATATAACAACAGTCATCGCAATAGCCTCATTTCGTATTATCTTTCCTTTCCTTTCCTATTCGTTACGTTATTCCTTTCTATTACCTAATCCGTACGGATACCTAGTCATACCTACAAACGTGGTCTATTATGCTCGCGCTGGCGATGGTGCTGTCTTCAGCGTAGGCAGTATGAATTGATATTGCTGACTAGCCTGGGATGTCGATATTAATAACGTTGCAAAATTAACCGGCAATATTATTAATGGAATTTTAACTGGAAAGCGATAAGAAAAGTTTCCGAACGGACGTGTTTCCGAACGGACGTGGGTATAATAACGGCATAATTGCTTTGCCGACATGATAAGCACTATATCAGATAGCAAGCTATAGGTACATAATAGAAATATTATAGGTAAAACCGAAAAATAGCGAAATAGAGGTTAGACATGTTCCAGAACAAAATCTGCCCAGACACTAACGATCTTCAAGCAAAAGAATTATGCGTAGAGCCGTGAGCAAGGTTTCTCAAGGAGAGAGACTACGGAGGAACGTCCTCTACTACCTAATCAAATCAAATCATTCAAGTACATCGATGTCCATCTCCGGCTGTCGCTTTCTAATCATTAACTTTGCTTCGGGGTCTCCAATAACAGCATATCCAACATCGAATGACCGAGGAATACAACCATCCACGAGCTTCCACTCATACTTCAATAGCAGGTGACACAACAGGACCTTGATCTCATTAGTAGCGAAGAAACGTCCTGGGCATGCGTGAAGCCCATGCCCGAATCCCATGTGCTCAATACTTGTACTTGCCAATTGTGAATGGTTCTCTTGGCCTGGTATTTGACGCATTCGCAAGAATCGATAAGCGTCGAATCGGAGAGGATCCTCGTAGTAGGTACTGTCCTGCATGTGCAGATTATCCACCAAGAGCTTTTGGCCCTTACGAATAACAAGACCATTGGAGAGCGTTATATCCTTGAGTGCGATGCGGCGCATAGTAGCTGAGCAAAACATGTCAGTTGTTGTTCAGTTGGGATCAAGCTGGATACGCACAGATCAAGAGTGGTTTAAGTCTCTGAGTTTCTTTGATTGCACTATCCATCAACTTCAGGCCGAGGAGAGCTGTCTTATTTAGGCCATTGGGACGTAGTGCTTCGAGCACCTCTTTGCGAAGAGGCTCAAAGAGCTCCTGGTGTTGAGCAAGTTGTATCATTGTTTCTTTGAGCAGGTCGCTTGTTGTATGAATGGCGGCCATGGATAAACTTATCTGGGCTACCGTCGGGTCATAAGCATGCTTGGTCGCGTGTTCATACCATTCAATTGCGTCGTCAAAAATGGGCGTAGGGTCCCCTTTGATCTGAGCTGATACCTTCAAATTGCAACGTTCCTCGATGTATGGCCGTAGAACGTACCGGGCTTTAGCAAGGCAGGCGCGAGCATTTCGACATCTTGGGAGAAACCAGTGGACCAAAGGATGAAGAGACGCTGGCCAGCCTTCCAATTCCCCTGCGCCAGCAAAGGCCGCGGGAGCGTATTCGGAAGAAGCTTGAATCCACTCTTTGTTGCGGCAGAGCTTCTCGCCGAGGAATACTCTGGAAGATACGCGAGCAACCACTGGGAGAATATACTCGGATGGTTTGATGGTGACCCAATCTGTGCATGACATTGAGCTTCAGAAATTCCTTCACGGGGTTCATTCAAGGTGTTAACATTATCCTTACCGTGACAGTCAGGCAAAAGCTGAGCGAGGACCAGCCCTGCCTCTTGCGATATTGGCCCAGTGAGTTTGCCTATATGAATGTTCAGCACGACCTGCCGTATACGTAATGATAGTCAGTCATACTTATGGCCTTGTTCAAATATCGGTTGACCACGACTGTTGTTGCTGTAGGAAGGCCAAATGGATCGAATCCAGGGATGTGCGAGTGGCTATCCTAGGTGAGTCGTCAGTCCAGACTCGGTTAAATGAGGAAAATAAATCATTCAGCCGCTCACTTCCTTACTGATTCCAACAAAATCGAGTGCAGGCTCACTTCGTACTTGGTTGACGAGGCAAGTAGGGAGAACTATCACTTCGCCCTCGGGACAGATCATTCGATAGGGTTTCTGCGGATACATGGCTCTTCCTTTTTGTAATAGTTGTCGGCAATTGGCTTTAAAGTGGGCGATACGTTCTAAGTTTGAAAACTCGAATCGTTTCCTCGGATTTATGATAGGGAGAGAGCTTGTTTCTCCAGGGCCGATGGTTACGCGCAACACAAGTATGACTAGGATCGCAACAGCGATGCATAGAGCTGTCTGCTCAACAGAATAATGAGATGGCTTCACCCAGGAAGTAATCTCCAACGCCTCCATGATCGACATCGTCATGGAATACGGGAAGTGACTTTGAGGTGCGATGAAAAGTGTGAGGGGCTATTTATACACTTTACGGTGCACAATTGAGATGACTTGAGATGACTTGAGATGACTTGAGATATAAAAATTGGAAATTCCGTAGACGAACGGGATGACCTTAAGCAGAGTGAGTAATAATGTTCTATGTGAAGTAGAAAATCCCCTTTATATATGTCCCGAAGTGGAAGGGGAACAAGTCTACTGGTGGGTTCTACGATAGCTTACATCATTTGTCATTTGCACTACAATAATTCGGACGACACATTCGCAATAGGAGAAAAGGCAAATCTACAGGAATTCGAATGGTGGGAATGGCTTACACTACGTTCAATATTATAGTGCAGCTTGGACCATCTGTCAAAATGGCTAAGGGGTTACCTTAGGTGCCAAAGAGACACAGTACATTATCCATATGCATCTGATTGGTTGAGACTGTTACACCATTCCTAAAGTGGCATGTTTTGGGTATTTTCAAAGTCTTAATTCGTCAATATAAGTGGAATATGTACCTGTGTCTTTTTGGCATACTATTATAAGTAACAGATAGCCCATAATGCCTAGGTAGGTACATGGTAGGTATATACATACTGTGAGATGTACATGGTTACATGTAAATCCATGTGACCTACGGTCACGTGTTATCCAGACATCCAAGAAGAACTTGAGTGTTTGTAAAAATAAATTTTTTTTTAAAAAGCGTTGATACGGCAATCCTCCCCACAAGTTCAATACTACCTAGGTACATATGGCTTATACACTTACACGCACTCGAATAACTTTACGAATATAGCACTTCAAGTACTATAACTGATATAACTCTGTAGCCTCAATTGATGCGAAAATAACGATCCAAGTTGTATTTAAACAGGTCTCTTAGTTGGCATGTTGTATCTGAATTAAATAACTCTGGTTCAAGAGGCAAGCACGTGATATCCTTTAAGACCACCTTGAAAAGGTCTTTTCAGAAGGACTCAACAAGGTATATAAGACCTATTTCAAGTCTTACGAACATGCAACTTGGACCATTATTTTCGCATCAATTAAGGCTATATCATGATATCATACACAGGACTTGAAGTGTTAAATTTGTAAAGTTACTCGAGTGTGTATAACGGCGTGTATTTGACATAATACTAGGCATTTGAAGATTGAGTTGACGATCGAGTCTTTAATTCTGATTGGCCAAAACCAAGGATTAGTGGAAAGGGTTGCCCGTATATCAACGCTTTTTTTGTACATTTTATATTCAACATGTGCGTTAACCTTAACGTTACTTAATAAATTTACTATATATTGCTTATGAAGTATAATGATCTAGTAGATTTTAACTGCTCGTTTCTACAACTAGATTAACGAAAGTCCCATAAAGAACCCAATATGACAACCAAATTCAGTCGAATACTACCTGTGTATAGATATTTTGATCAACGCAGGTGTGTCCTTTCTCTGCCAGGGTATCTATCTGTTTACCTAGGGTTCTAGCCACGCGAAAGACCGTAACCTTGTTGGACCTGCTGGGTTTCTGAACGTATCTTGGCTACTAAAGCTTAACATTGGAGAGGAGTCGGGTAACTGCATGTCGTATACGAAAAAAAAAACACTGAGGCAAAGCTGAACATTTCAATACCTTGGCATAGTTTATAGAAGGTAAACTACCCACGCCAAGAGGACCCAAGAGAAAGAGCCAAGATATAGTCTATAATAACGGCCATCAGGGTCCTTCCTATATACTAGCATTTCACATTATACAGGCACTTTCGATTCCTTTCCCACAACTTTGGAGATGAACGAAACTTTTTATGAGCTCATAATTGACCACGTTGTTAGCTTGGCAATGATCCAAACAGTCAATTATCGGCCTAATATCCTTGATTAAAATCTTTAGTTCGTCCTCCTAGCTGGGATAGTTAACATGAGATTGTGATAGTATGAGTCAAGAGCAAATATTGGATAAGATATGATCTCGGCTCATAACTTTCAGTTTAGAAATATGCTTAACCTTGTTAGATTTAAATCCTGTGCCTGAATGATTATATAAATTATCCATACCGCCTTGTTGATTGAGCTCGAGCACTTGTTAACTTTCTTAGATTCCTCAACCAGTGAAACTTCAAGTGCTTCGACAATATGTATAACCTTAACGCAATTCTTGCTGCTTTTCTCGTCGCTTCGACGGCCGTTGCGCAAACATTGCCGCCGTCTCCGACCGCATCTGTGGGGTGTCATCCTCATGGTGATCATTGGTGAGGCACTCTCTTATTAATATTCCCGGAAGAAAAACAAAATAAACTTACTGGAATGCACAGGCATTGCGATGGGCCAGCTTCAATCACTGTCCCTGTAACTATATCCAGCACTCATAATAACGAAACCTCCAAAACCCTTGCGCCAAGTCCCACGGAGTCTATCGGTTGCGAACCCCACGGAGATCATTGGCATTGTGATGCTCCTGCATCGGCGACTGCCTCAAGTACAAGCTCTGCGACTAGTGATCATCATGGCGAGGGAACTGGGAGCCTGGCACCCAGCCCAACAGAGTCTGTTGGTTGTGAGCCGCACGGGGACCACTGGCACTGTGATGGGCCTGCTGTGGCCGAAACTACATCATCCACACAGCCCATAGAAACAGCCGGCGTTGGAAAAGTAGGAGTTGGTAGCATTGCGATACTAGGAGGCTTATTCGCAGTTGCAGGAATGGGTTTCTGATAGGCAATGTTGATCGCAGACTGGATTGCGGCAAGCTGGATGGCATTATACTCCTAGTCAAGCTGGAAGACAACATTGTTAATTTTAAGCTTAGGTACATGATACTTTTGTTACGGCTATATTCGACAACAATATGCATCTCAGTATATGATCTTGCGTCGTGCATATATCAATGCACCATCTCGTTGGGAAAGCCAATTACGACGTACTAAATTTATATTGACTCTATAATGTGCGTCATACGTAGTATGTACCAAAATTTCTGCGCTTATACCTGCACAGACACATACATAGCCTTTAAGATGGCGGATAAATACATGAAGACTGGTGTGCCGTGAGCGCGTTTCCATCCGCTTGGAACTCGCAAGGTTTCACGACGCCCATCAAGGTTCTTGCTCATTATTACATGACTGAAAAGAAGAAGTTATCGTGTCAAGACTTCAAATAGTCAATTTCTCTTCGGGTTTCCACTTAGACGTGCCAAGCAGCTGGAGGAAGGCCAAGGGAAGCTGTGTGGGGGATAAAAACGGGCTAGAATATACTTCGCGAGAACGCCAAGTATAACTTCCTAAGTTATCAAAAAGCCGAAGCACCTTGATGGCCAAAAAAGAGACTTCTGAAGCGAAAAACCCCATTTAAATAATTGCAAAAATCTTTCTTCAATTATATTATGCGGCTCTGCCAATAGGCCTCTCCATTCATTCAACGCAGCTACGACTCGCCATAAACCACCCCCCTATTTTGGGATTGGACAGAGGCCACAATCGACTTAAATACACTTGGAAGCAACAATACACGTACTTTTGGCATTATGGGTTGGTCCCGGAAGCGGCCGACAGCCCTTTCACTTGCCGTTATTATCGCGCTTGACGTTTTTTCCTACGCCAAAGCATCATATATCCCTCCAAGACCTATATCACAGGGTCCAATGACCACACCAGCTCCTACAGTCCCTCGAGCTACTGAAAGTTTTACTGCTGTATCAGAATGCCATATGCACGGCGCCTCAGTGTGAGTCATTATGCGAACAGGTTGGAACGGCAGGCTAACGAGGTACAGATTCTGTCTCTATGGTACAACGGAGCTTCAAATGGTGGTACCGGCGACAGGAACTAGCGAAATCCCTCCAACATACACAGGCTGCCATAAGCACGGGGATGAATCGTATGTTAAATAATGTGCTCCTTAAAATACAAATCGATGCTGATAAACCAGATTTTGTCTTGCGCCCGATGGCTCCGACGTTGAAGTCCTCGGTCTTAACAGCGAGGACCCAGCCGGCCACTCAGAAGAGAGCGACGCACACAGTGAGAGCGAGGGACAAAATTGCCATTTCCATGCAGGGGTTGAGTAAGTAGGTTCCTGCTTAAGTATTATATCAGTTCATGTCTCTAAAATTTGATAGACATTGTGTCGGCGGGTCGAGCGAGAGTGGCGTAGCACAGTGCTCACGACGAGATCGAGACTACAACGTCCCTCTTAGGATTGGACTTCTCTTCGTTATTCTAGTCACAAGCTTCATCGGTAAGCATAACTACCTCGTTATCCAGTGTCTAATGGTAATAAACTCATGAAAGTCTATAGGCGTCGCAGGGCCAATATTCCTCAAACCTATACTGCCACAGAAGTTCCAGCCAGTTTTCCTCATTCTAAAGCAATTCGGCACCGGAGTTATAATAGCAACAGCATTTGTCCACGTGAGTCTCCCAGGTCGATACACAACGCATACTACTGGTTACTAACCTATGTCTAGCTTTTCACGCATGCCCAGCTTATGTTCACCAATGAGTGTCTTGGAGAGCTTAAGTACGAAGCAACAACAGCTGCGATTGTCATGGCCGGGATGTTCTTCGCATTCGTAATAGAGAACGCGAGTCATCGCTTAGCCCAAAGGTTCTGGGCAAGAACTCAGTACAACAGCGAGGTAATTGGTGTCGCAGTACTTGAAGCTGGCATAATATTTCACTCACTTCGTAAGTCATCACTCGTTAACCATCTGTCTCATCCAATACTAACCTCCTCTGTAAGTGATCGGCGTTACTTTGGTGGTTGCAGGGGACAGCTTCTTCGTAACTCTTTTTGTTGTCATCCTCTTCCACCAGATGTTTGAGGGTATAGCTCTCGGTACCCGCATTGCCTCTGTTGGTCATTTTAATAGAGCTGAAGGAGAAAATGCCAATCATGCACAATTAGCCAGGGATGATACCACGTCCACACAAGTTCCAACAATCACGGACAATGGAGACTCTCTGCAGGAAAGTAAGGATTTGAATTCGTTACAAATGTCCCAGAAATTTCTAATGGCTGCCGCCTTTGCTTTGGTCACTCCGGTTGGTATGGCGATTGGTATTGGGGTTCTGAATCAGTTTAATGGCAATGACCCCAAAACACTGATTGCTCTGGGGACTCTCAATGGTTTATCAGCCGGTATACTCATATGGGTTGGAGTTGTGGAGATGTGGGCAGGAGATTGGATGTTTGGTGGTGAATTGGAAAATGCAGGGGCTGTGATAACAACTCTTGGAGGATTAGGACTGGTTGCGGGAATGGCTCTAATGAGCTTTTTAGGAAAATGGGCATGAGGATGGCAACGTCATAAGAAATCATAGATTTCATTTCTAAAACTAATATCATTCTGTCATAGAGTCACGGCGCTTCTCTGGTGACTAAAGAGAAAACTTTGATACTTGAAATATGTCCCAATATTTCGTATTTGGACCTTACCTACTTCTCTTAAACATTCGAATATGTGCGTATTAGTCAAACCATTTACGATAATGATTTAGATTGAACTATGGAACTTGAAGATACTGGTAAATATATCAAATAACCACTTAACTTGTAAAAATAAGTGATATCCTTTTTTTCCGCATCCTTTATACTAACACGGTCTTTAAGATCTTACCCCTTTTTCATCGGGCGATTCAACCATTAAATGCCATAAGGCAAACTATTTCTCTACTTATTCTCCTGGATGTATCCATAACGGAGAATCGCCCCATGAATATAACATCCCAATCCGATTCGAAGAGCGCACCCCCCCAAATGCCTAAGGTATTTTCCCTAAGCGGTGGAGATAGCGTGTGCGGTGCTTCTCAGAATCATCACTCCACAGCACGCTATAGTTCCTTCACATGATTATTACATAATTGGCTAGGCCTCGATATTAGTGCTACTCTCTATAATCAATTAGTCGGTTTCTACGACATAGCGTGGGGGGTTTCCATGTTCATAAATACCTAGGTAAGGTATTATCTAGGTGGTCATAAGGTAAATATTCCACATATTTCACATCTCTATAAATGTGCAATAGAAGTATCTCCTGTAATTACAGAGGCTGGTCAATACATAATATATTAATATTTCACTTAATGTCTTTAGATAATGCGTGCTTGGTGCCCCCAGACGTACCGTATTTGGTACATGGCGTAAGTACCATGTCGTACAGGGCCATTGGAATAGAACTAGATTTGGATTGTCTTTAATTTTCGCACCACGATGTGCGAAAAAACAGTAGAAAATAGTAAGGTAGCCAAGCAACATATAGTAAGAGATTGTAAAAATAAATTTGAATAAATTTATCGGGAGGTCACGCAGCTCGTATCTATTACTCAGACGAAACTGGGAAGTTTTTGCGAGGTAGTATCTTACGGTCGAATAATAATTGTTCTATGCATGAGTTTCGGCGGGAAATTACCTAAGCGAAGCGGCTTGCAACATCTCGCGGGTATCTGCATTTCTGCATATAGGTACCTATACATAAGTACCTACATGTACTACGCATATTCTCCACGTGGCACTCCATTCTTAGTAGGCTGCTCTCCTATGCGGGTAGAGTTAGAAGAGGAACATCCCGCCCTTGGCGCATCGTAAGTCCCAGATGTTAGTACGTTATATTGCGCTATTGCGCTATTATACGGGCAAAAAACGTGCTGGATGTATCCACTTTTATCAATCAGCTCAGCTTTCAGCTGAACTTGAGAGATTCTTCCTCTCCTCCTGCATATACATCATGAGAAGTATCTATAACGCGACGACATTGGAACCGATGGTTACGATACTTGATCAACGCATGATACTCGAAAAGTACCTAATGTTATTAATAGGTACCTAGGTACCCAGGTATATGGGTAGTAACTCAGCACATTTCTATGTCACCGAGTCCGGACTCTGTTCTTCGGAATCTCGCCGAAGCTCAACTACATCAGCTGGCTCTTAGTCTGGACCTCACGCTAGGCTCCGTACCAAATCCTGGGGTTGATCGTCTACCCGAGATTGCAGCGAGATACCAATTCAACTACCTACCTCTTAAGAAGCTTGCTAACTCACCTGCTAATACACACAAATAAGTATGTTCTCTTGAATGTGCTATAGAGTCATGTGCATTTATCTATATACTATATACATGATGTGTATAATACTTGGTGCTTCGTCGGCTACTCTTATATAAGTCAAGATGAGTAAAAATGTTAGTATACTTGAATATCTGACCTGTACTCTCTTGAGAGGCATCGTTCCTAAAACCCAAAAATGGCTCGTGATTATGCATGTCACCGATTTCTGTGCAACAATACGTCTGTAATGCGAAATCCGCCAGTTTCCCGGTCTCACTTTCGTTTAAACCCAATCAGACCCTCGTAACTTTGGTCACGCAAAGCTGACTCTGGCCATAAAAGCAGGAAATCTCGGCGTTCAATTCCCGTAGACAGCAAGACCTAGAATATGGGAGGCAAAAATGGTCAATACGCCGAATCCCAAGGATCCGGATCCAGATTCTCGACTAAATATCTAACCATTGATATAATGAGACCCTGGGTTTGGTATTAGTTATAATAGGTTGCTTGCGAGATACGATTAGCTAGAATCTGTTCAGCGCGCGATCACGCAACCAAGCCGTGCCCCTCTCTTCTTATTTGGCTTTGTAGCTCCGCAATGGCGCAATGTAGGTCGTTAAGCTTGTTATCATCTTGGCACTTCACCTTCCTACTTCGTAAGGATAACCCCTGTTCTCGCCTTATTAACTTCCTATGTGATTGGTAGTTCCGTCCAATCATCCAAGATCGGTTTCAAAGGCCGTATCAAATCACTAGATTGTATACCTATGTGTTGTATTATATATTAATAAGAGCAATGCCAACCTTCCCGTTGGACTTACACATGCTGTAGACTTTTAGCCAGTCTCGCGACCTATTCCACAGATCCAAGGAAAGCATCCGCCCATCATGGGTACGTCCTAACATCCCGCCTATCATCAGTTTTGTTAACCGTCTATCTAACACATACTGCAGCTGAGAATGTTGTCGGTCTCAATGTTCAAAAAGTCGTCGAACCAGACGCAGACCCAGTCCCGGGTATTCGCGATGTAGAAAGACATCATGTACAGGACAAAGCCGTGAACAAGTCCCCCGACTCTCCCCGCGTCGAGTCGCTGCCCGAATCGCTTGAAGAAGCTGGTCCCGTTATCGATTACGAGGCCTATCCGCCTCCGACCGAAGAGGAACGGAGGACGTTGCGTAAAGTCAACGATTCTATTCCTCTCGCTGCCTGGTCTCTTTGTTTTGTGGAACTGGCCGAACGAGCTTCTTACTATGGTGTCAAAGCTGTTTTTAACAACTATATGTGCGTACCTACCTTTCGTAAAACCTCGCGTAATAAGACCTCAACCTAACATTATAACTCTTTACAGGCAGTTTCCTCTCCCGGCTGGCGGCCCCGGAACTGGTGCTATTGATAAATCAAAGCCCAACTCCCATGCTGGTGCCCTCAACCTTGGCATTCAAACAGCTTCTGCTCTGGGTCTCCTATTCACCTTTCTGGCATATATCATTCCTATCTTTGGTGCGTGGCTTGCAGATGTAAAAATTGGCCGTTATAAAGCTATAATGTAAGGAATAAGCCACCCCTTACTCCCCCTATTTCCTTATATTAACCCATTTCTATAGCTGGGGTGTCCTTGTGGGAGGTGTTGCCCACGTAATTATGGTCGGAGGTGCTGCTCCAGCTTTACTTCAGGTATTATATCCGATTTCTCTGGCTGTCATTCTATTACCGAGACATATTAACACGTCTTATCATAAAAATAGGCTGGAAAAGGCGTGGCTCCTTTCCTTGTTTCTTTCTTATTGCTTGCCATCGGGGCTGGCATTTTTAAACCAAATGTTGCGCCGACAGTTATTGACCAGTACTCGTATCAAAAAGAGTATACGAAGGTACTCGGAACCGGAGAGAAAGTGCTTGTGGACCCCGAGACGACGGTCAGCCATATTATGCTTATCTTCTATGCCTTTGTCAACGTGGGTGCATTTTTTAGCATCGCCGTGGTCTATGTCGAAAAATTTCACAGCTTCTGGCTTGCTTTCCTCCTCCCAGGCATCATATATTTCCTACTACCGATCCTGCTCGCCGTCATGTATAAGCGGACGGTCAAGAAGCCACCTCAGGGTTCCGATCTAGCCCGTTTCGTGAAGATCACTGTTTCAACTTTGAAGAGGAGCAAAGGAAACGTCTTCTCGAAAAGGTTCTGGTATAACGTGAAGCCTTCCGTGCTAGCAGAGCAGAACATACATGTCACCTACTCTGAGAAGGACGTGGCCGATAGCGAACGGACATGGACGGCCGTACGGATATTCTGCTACATTCCCATTTGGAACCTTAACAAGGTATGTATGAAAACACCCCGTGTTGTTATTTCCGGTTCTCCTTTCTAGAATGGTCCCGAAGTACAGTGGCTAACGCTCAGTAGTAAGTGTGATGACTCTATCATTTCGACTCACTCGAACAAGTCCAAGGACCGGATCAATTACACCAATCCACGGCTCTTCAAACGATTAAATGGTTTTATCATATATTTATCTAGTTAAATAGATATGCATATAAACTATATACCGATATAAAGAGCCGTGGATTGGTGTAACTGATCCGGGCCTTGTTGACAGAACAAGGTGAAGATTCTAGAATCGTACGGTTGTAAAGCTGACACGAAATGCCCTCATATAGCGGCGGCGTCGGAAGTACGTTATCTTCGCAAGGTGCCGCAATGCAAGTAAGTGTGATAGCCCTATCATTTCGACTCAATCGAAAAATAACGGTGGAGAGTCTAGAATTGTAGTATTGGAAAGCTGACACGAAATATTTTTATACGTTAGTCTGAAGGTGCGCCTAATGACCTACTCGGGCACTTTAATCCTTTGGTGATTCTTGTTTTTTCGCCTTTTATGGCGCAGATCGTATATCCGGCCTTAGAGCGTAGAAAGATCAAAGTTGGCCGTATCAGTCGGATGACAATTGGCTTTGTTCTAGCCACCATTTCCGGAAGTGAGTATTTCTCTTTCCTTCTTATTTGCGGATGCGAATAGATGCTAATATTAAGCCTGAAAACAGTATTTGGAGCCATCGTGCAGTTATACGTCTATAGAACGTCACCTTGTGGCTATTATGCTACCGACTGCGATGAGGTGTCTCCAATCTCAATTTGGTGGCAGATCCCGAACGTTTCCCTGGGTGCTATGTCCGAAATCTTTGTTAATGTTACATCGTACGAGCTCGCGTACGCCCGTGCCCCGGAACATATGAGGGCTACGGTCGTTGCCCTCTTCTTATTCATGACTGCTCTGAGCAGTGCCTTGGGTGAAATTTTAATTCCCGCAATTACAGATCCAACCCTTGTTTGGGCCTGGGCTGCTCCGGCAATAGCACTTGCTGTTCAAACCGTTATCTTCTGGTGGCAACATCGCGACGTTAACGACGAAGCTTTCATGATACACGAGGAGGAGTTCCAGCAGTTGGCCGGCGAAACCAAAAATTCTGAGAAGGGAGAGAAGTAAGCTGACTTAGAGGCATTGAAATGAAACCTTGGTTGAAGCTGGTAAATTAGGTACTTATACGCAACATGTTCTACCACAAACGTTAAGATAGGTTAAGCTGAATACTAATACATAACACTGTTGATTGAGGTTCAAAGTTCGAGCTATGTATAGATAGTATAATAGGAGGTAGGTAAGGCTGTATACCCCATCAAAGGGGATTGAAGACAGACTCGTCTTATATTAATACTAAGTTGTATAATCCTAAGCCGACTACCACCGAACGCACTGTAACCAAGGAGACTATGCTAGGCTTATGTAAAGAACGTCATCTCCCGGCATCCCCCTAGGCACCGGAGGATGTCACGTGTCGTTACCCGGCACCCTTGTAATCATTCCGGCCGATTGTACCCACTTTTACGGGCCCCGTGTCGGACCTCGAGTCGTATCATAAGTCCTGTGAGTCTCGATTTTGAAACATCGATTCAACCGACAGACCTTTTTGGTTGGTCCACGTGATTCGGATCTTTTATTTCCGAACTTCGTGGCCAGAGAACAGGCTGTTGGGTCGTGGCACCCTGTTGGCTTGTAACATGACCAATATTACCTGCCTTCGAGTAGGCAGTTTGCATATGAATCATGCCTTTTACTAGGTAGGTATACGGCATAGAAGCCACTGGGACTAGGAGTTTAGGGATCCGAAAATGGCCTTCTATAGCCACATAGAACGGACTGTCTCATATAACAACCATGATAGTGCCTCTAAATCTCGACGTTCTAGTTGGCCGGCTTTTGTCTCCGGCTAAAAGAATCTTACCGGCAGTTATACGTATCAAGGATTCCCCACGGCACCCAGGTCTTACTTTATAGGTCAACCCATGGAGTCAGATTGTAGGCTGGTCGTTTATTTAAGAAGCCAACAGGACCGGATGCAGCATGCATCGCCACATTCACTTTGAAACTCCACGCCAAGGAATTCACCATGTTTTGGAGCTCTCTCATCGTCGGTGCCCTTTTGGGGCAGCGTGCCTCTGCGCAGAATATGCTTCGTTTTGGCTGCTCACAGCTCACCACCGAACGCGCTGATCCTTTGGTCTCTCCTGGTCAAAACCCCGCCCCCCACACACATCAAATCATCGGAGGGAACTCGTTCAATCTTACGGTAGCCCACATGAATCCGATCGAAGACTGCCGCTAACATGACTCAGATGACACCAGCTGAATACGATCCGCCCAGCTTGTCCACTTGCACGAGTTGCACCTACTCAGAGGACTTCAGCAACTATTGGACCGCATCATTGTACTTTAAGTCTCCTGAAAATGGTACCTTCCAGCGCGTCCCCCAATTTGCCAACTTTGGCATCCAGCAGGATGGAGGGATGACAGTGTACTACATGCCTTACAGCGCCAAAAATGGTAAGGTGACGGCATTCAAGCCTGGTTTCCGGATGATCGCAGGAGACCCCACGAACAAACAAAACATATACAAACCCTCGATCTGTCACCGCTGCCTCGGAAATGGCGAGGGTTTCGCCCCCTGCGATAGCAAAGACACAGGCGAGCTCCCAACCAAGTACTGCCCTGGAGGTATCCGCGCTACCGTCATCTTTCCGTCCTGCTGGGATGGAAAGAATCTCGATTCACCAGACCACAAGTCCCACGTTGCCTACTCCAACGGCGGTGGCCTTGGTAGCCCGAACTGCCCTTCTACTCACCCCGTTGCTATTCCTCAGGTCATGTACGAAGTCATGTGGGACACCGGAAGGTATTCGAACACTGCTTGGTACGGAAACGGCAAGCAGCCCTTCGTCTACAGCTTCGGCGACTCGTAAGTTCCCTCCCTCCCTTAAGTCAATTGCGTACCTGTTACTGATATTGATGGCAGCACTGGATATGGCCAGCATGGCGATTACCTCTTTGGATGGAAGGATGATTCTTTGCAAAAGGCCATGGATGCTTTGCCTGGTGGGAATTGCGCCAATGCTAACTGCGGCGTTCTTAAGATACAGTCCGCTGCGGACGCGATGAAGTGCAAGAAGGCTCAACAGGTTGTTGAAGATGTCGGACAGCCAGGGCAGTGGATCACTGAGCTTCCAGGAGGTGTAGCAGTCTATTAATTACCTGGGACCTGGGTATAATAAACTAGTGTTATATTTTGAAGCGTAGTGCTTATGTCTATATTTATATGCTAGACTCGAAATATACAGAATCAAATTCAATGTTAACTACCTGTAGTTTGTAGTCTAACTGCTATCTTCGTTGCTAACTCCCTTGATATCACCGTGGTGTATCATGTCAATGACTTGCGATTGGGTAACGTAAATGCCCATACTAGACACGGCCCTGAGTCTCCCCCCTGTTCTGGCTGCCGAAAATAGAACCCTACACCAGCCAAATTCGGAAATTCGGATCTCATAACAGCGTGTTCTCTCCTTGTCCTGTAGTTGAGTCCCTTAACCTACCTAGTAACCAACTGCAACTGCCTATATTCAATGGCCAATCAAGTTTAAGATCATATACTTATTTGGAAGGTGGCTACTTAGGTACCTTATAAGTGCATATGTTCTTTTAGGTACCTAAGCATTGACCATGCTGTTATGGTGGGCAATATCTGCTACCTGTATTTGACCTTGACATGTGAGAACGCGCCATATCTTTAAAGGCAAGAATATAAAGTTTTAGAATTAAACTTATCTTATATAATCAATCCCCATTGGTTGCTCTTTTCTTTTTCTGACGAATTACGAAATTATTTAATAAATTAACTGTCTTTAAAAGATATATCCACGATGCTGAAGTATGAATCGGCTAAAGTCCGGGAAGCTTCTAGTTTTATGAGCTCATCTGTTCGCGATTTTCTTACTATTGTTGCTTATCTCCGTCCGTTGATTTTCTTGCCACAGTATTGCTAATATGGACATACGCATTTTGATGCTGCCATAACAAAATGTTCCTTCTTTGGTTATTACCCTACGTAGAAGGTGGAAATGGCTAGAGGCATAGCATCTCCGTACATTTGCGCTCGATGCGCTCATGCACTACTTGCTCAAAACACCCAAAGCCCCGCGATTAATCAATGGAAAAGATATGCAACCAAGTCCACCGATTTCCCAGCTAGCAGCAACCCTGGCCGTCAATCTAATAATACAGCCGATGAAGACACTAATCCTGAGCTGGGTCCGATGGCCCGCCGTCTGCAAGAGGCCACGGAGGAGGCGTTGCTCACAGGAGGGAGAGCCGGTCGACGATCGGTGGAAGACGCCGGTTTCTCGGACGAATTAAAAGAACGTCTTCTCGCGAAAGTTAAAGATGCCGAATTTCGATCCGAACATGCCGCGGCTTTTGCCGAAGCCGGAATGCCATCCGCTGCTGGCGTGGGCACCCGTCTCGCGGCAACAAGTCAGCCATGGACGGGTACTGAAGCTACTGAAGATGCTGTTTTACGGATGCTCGACGACGCACATAAACATCTAAAGAGAGATTTACGAGGCCGCCCAAAATTACCTGACCTCCAACCGATCGACATGCGAATTAGACAAGAACCAAAGATGAAGGCCAGACACAGGGCTGCCCACGCTAGGGATAAGGCTTCTGTATACACAGGCATGGGTATGAAAGAGGTACAAGGGGGCCTTAGCGAGGAAGCGAGGGAGGCGATGAGGAAGGAATTCCGCGATCGCTTTAGACCTGCTGCCCGAGCACTACCGAATTCCTTGACAGGACTAGCTTCGTTAGCAAACGAGAGAATCGAAGATGCCATCGCGAGAGGACAGTTCAAGAACATTCCGAGGGGCAAGGGAGTCGAACGAGATACGAGAAGTGATAATCCATTCATAGATACGACCGAGTACATTATGAACAAGATGATCAAGCGTCAAGAGATAGTACCACCGTGGATTGAGAAGCAGCAGGAACTATCGAAAGCCGCGCACGTGTTCCGGGCTCGGCTGCGAAATGATTGGAGACGTCACGCTTCACGTATGATCGCAAGTAAGGGCGGCTCACTCGAAGATCAGATGAATCGGGCAAGACAATACGCGAAAGCCGAAGAAGTCCACAACCCGCGAAAGCGCAACATCGACCAGATAGCAGTACCTACGAATTCGACAGACGACCCAATCATGGCCAAAATGCGACAACAGGCATCCTTAGAAACGAATCCCGAACAGGCGCCGGAGACTGCTGTTAGTGCGGCGACAACTCAGGAGATTCCATTGCCACCCTTCCGAGATCCCGATTGGCTAGCTACGGAACAATCTTACATGAACCTTTCCATTAGCCATCTGAACACTCTTACACGATCCTATAACTTGATGGCGCCTGAACTCGCAAAGAAGCCGTATTTCTCACTCGAACGAGAGTTAAATAACTGCTATGCGGATGTTGCGCCGCAACTTGCAGATGCAATAAAGGACAGAGCCAGTGGCCCGGCGAGAACCCTATCAGACGGGGTTGGAAATAGTCCTAGTAGTATCTTAGATCGCTTCGGGAAAGGTGGTCATACTGCAAAGGTTTACGACTCGAAAGCACCCCATTACGGATTCAAAGAGATGTGGCGAGATCTCTGGAATCGTCAAGCTAGTTAGAAGTTTTGTCCAGTTATCCCTCTATAGCATTATGTAGATATAGCCGCTTGACTGTCGTCTTTTGAAGAATAGTGGTAGCTCTTTAACATATGGTTTACGTTTGCAAAATCGCATATAGCCCCCCAGCCTATACAAATTCTCGAAACGCACTGGCACGTTTTCGCTCAACCCCGGATTGTTTTTGGAACGTCTTAAATGTGGAGGCTAGATTCGGTATAAGAGCCCCTATTACACCAGGACGGGCGAATGAAAGCAATTAATTGGTAGAACCTTAACCAGATGTCTTCCGGGCGAATAATTCAAAGCCCGTTGTTGTTTCATAGGTATTTACATATACTCCCTTTCTCCGGACCAAAGGGATTTCGATGCTGCTCGGGCCGAGCCTAGCTTATCAGGAACGGGCCAACGGCGTCAAAGTGTCGTCATAGCATAGGTACCTAAGGTAGTCAGCAACTCGCTTGGTGTACCATTGAGTATTCGGAACCCCAGGGAGCGAAGAAGAGAAAAAAAGAGAGGGAAATATTCATTTTGTCTAGATGTTTATTTGAACTTTTTCTTCTTTTTTTCCCCGGAATTCACATCGCCTGCATTGCCTGTTATATCAGCTTGAAGGAGAAAGAGAGTTTCCGTAGTGGGACCATTTAAAACTTATGGGCCTCGGTTTCGGCGGGCGTTCGGCGTTCTCCATTTTCCCCAAGCTTCAAAAATCGATACTTAATTGTTACTTACATGCGAGTCGCGAACCTCGAACCCTTAAATCATTATAGTGAAATTTCCCCAGACTCTCCACTCTCCACTCCTCTTTTCTTTTCTTAATTAACCCTCGTTCCTAATTTTCTATCCTTTTCTTCTAATTATCTTTTCTGCTCACTCCCAATTCCGTAGCCAATCGTGCTTTCGTGCTTGTATCAATAGAATCACTGCTGTGCCCCTCATCACCTCCGTTGCTTGCCCCTCCAGGTCGCATTTGGCGGGAGCTTCTGAGCTCAAAATCGAGACAACATGGCCTCGCCTGTAGCATCCGCAGCTCTGAAGGCTCGAGTTAGTCGACCTTCGATGCTAAAGAAGCTATGCCGACCTGAAGACATGCTTCACCATTTCCCTAATGGTGCCTATATTGGTTGGTCGGGGTTCACTGGTGTGGGTTATCCGAAGTACGTAGCTTATTATTACCCTCCTTTCCTCCATGCAGTTCATCTGTCTAAACTCCAATTGCAGGAAAATACCCACGTTTTTAGCAGACCATGTCGAGAAGAACAACCTCCAGGGCAAGCTCCGCTACACATTATTTGTCGGCGCGTCGTCAGGAGCCGAAACCGAGAACCGATGGGCTGCACTCGACATGATCGAGAGGCGTAGCCCTCACCAAGTCGGCAAGGCTATTGCAAAGGGTATTAACGAGGGAAGGATTAAATTCTTTGATAAGCATTTATCTATGTTTCCGGTAGATCTAGTATATGTAAGTGAGCGCAGAGATTCAACTATGTGATCTATAAGTGCGTTTATATCTAACATCGCTAGGGATTTTACACCAAAGATAGGCCGAGCAACAAGTTAGATGTCGTAGTGGTTGAAGCTTCGGAAATCAAAGAAGATGGAAGCATCGTCCCAGGCGCATCGGTCGGCGCAACACCAGAACTCATCCAGCTCGCAGACAAGGTGAGCACTTAGACCAACTAATTCCAAAGACGGAGCATTGACCATAATTCGTAATACCAGATTATAATCGAAGTCAACACGTCGATCCCTAGCTTTGATGGACTTCACGACATCACGATGACCGACTTGCCCCCTAGACGAAAGCCCTACCTGATTATGGGCGTAGAAGACCGTATTGGAACTACATCTATCCCTATCGATACGGAAAAGGTCGTCGGCGTGATCGAGTCCGATTACCAAGACCAAACGACGCATAACACGCCTGCAGATGAAAACTCTCGTGCGATCGCACGCCACCTGATCGAGTTTTTTGAGCACGAAGTTCAACATGGCCGCATGCCCAAGTCTCTCCTCCCCCTGCAATCTGGTATCGGTAACATCGCCAACGCTGTCATCGGTGGCCTCAGTGAATCCAACTTCTGGAACCTGAAAGTGTGGACCGAGGTTATCCAAGACACCTTCCTCGATCTCTTCGACTCTGGCCGCCTCGATTTCGCTACCGCAACCTCGGTCCGCTTCTCCCCCGAAGGCTTTAAGCGCTTTTACGACAACTGGGAAGCGTACCGTAATAAGTTGCTTCTACGTTCGCAGCAGGTTTCCAATTCTCCTGAGATCATCCGCCGGCTAGGTGTAATTGGCATGAACACGCCAGTCGAAGTTGATATCTACGCGCACGCTAACAGCACGAACGTTATGGGCAGTCGCATGTTGAACGGACTAGGCGGCTCTGCTGACTTCTTGCGGTCGTCTAAGTACAGCATCATGCACACACCGTCAACGCGACCATCTAAGACAGACCCGATTGGTGTCAGCTGTATTATACCGATGTGCACACACGTAGATCAGACCGAGCACGACTTAGATGTGGTAGTGACGGAAACGGGTCTCGCAGACGTACGAGGCTTGAGCCCCCGCGAGCGCGCCCGCGTCATCATCGACAAGTGCGCCCACGAAGATTACCGACCCATCCTCAAGGATTACTTCGAGAAGGCCGAGTTTGAATGCCTCAAGAAGGGCTGGGGCCATGAACCGCACCTACTTTTCAATAGCTTCGACATGCACAAGGCGTTACTAGAGGAGGGTAGCATGCGGAAGATTAAGAAGTGGTAAGGGATAGATATTGGGCATAGGAAAAGTCATACGAGCGGAGGCATACATATTGGGATTGCATATTAGGATTTGACGCACTTAAGCTATATCGATTTCGAAACAAGTGTATACGCGATTCTCTTGCCATTGGGGAGCATATTGCAATTTCTTAGGGTCTTGTGTCGACCCTAGAAGAAGTCGCATAGGACTATAGCATAGATACAGAAGTTCCCAACATCAGTTCGGCTTGGGCTTTGTATATATTAGTTAATAAAAAAACAAGTCACAATAACATCAATCATCAACATTGGGTCTCCTGAGTTGCCCCTTCCCCTTTCCCCCTATTCCCTCCATCAAGGCTAAAGACAAGCATATCTGTAGCATTCAGCTGAACTGCAATATTCCGCCCCAGAAGAAGGAAAGAGCCTCAATTTATGGAAGCCTTTAATACGTAAACCCCATTCACGCTCTCGCCAATTTCCGCGCCTTCACAACCGCCATTGACGGATTCTCCAAGAATAGCTCCCAAAACCCCAGGTCCTTCTTCACCACCTCCGCATTCTCATACGGCTCCGTCTCAACCTCGCCCAGCCCAACCTTATCCATCATCTCCGTCGACCCAGAGTAGGTCACCTCCCACGACGAGGCCACGATATCGATGGGCGGCACGGTCGCCACCTCGTACCGGAAGAAGACGCCTCCCGGGACGTCCCGCCAGTCCTTATACCTGATGCCGTATTTCCCCTGCGCGGCGCAGGACGCGTACGGGTCGCCGGAGCGCACGCCGACGAAGCGGCCGCCGGGGGCGAGGTAGGCGGCGACGTTGCGCCACATGGCCTCGAGCTCGGCGAGGCTGGCCGCGTGGTCCATGACCCAGTTGGCCATGACGAGGTCGTAGGTCTGGCGCAGCGGCAGGTGCGACAGCGGCTTGGAGACGTCGCCTTCGTGCCACCCGATGTTGTCGGCGTATTTGGCCCCCGCACCCTCGGCGGTCCGACGCCCTGCGCTGAGCATATCCGGGGATAGGTCTACGACGTCGACGCTGGTGGCGCCGAGGTCGATGACTTCCCGCGCGCGCACGCCGGTCCCGCCGCCTAGGTCGAGGACGGTGTAGCCTGTGCAGTCGCCTAGTGCGGATGCTAGGAGTTGCGTCTCCATGATACCGTGGGGGAGCATGGGGTACTCTTCATTGTAGGCACGGGCATGTTCTTTGTAGTCCCCTTTTAACTCTTCTGTGAGTGACATAGTGACTATTAGTACTTTTAATTTCTAGTAAAGTTCCTGAGGCTAGGTTAGTATCGATTCGCAATGTGTATGCCTGATTAATGTAAACAAGAGTTCCGATCATATCTTGGTTGCTCTACGAGATGCTTTTATATTCCCAATAAAGCACATTATCTACCACACGATCTCAATGCAGATAATTCCGGTCGATCGGCTACAGATTGCACTGAGTATGCGGGGGTCTACTTGGAGTCATGAACTATCACAGCTTTCATTGGTCTTGGATGGACGCCGGTAAGCAAATACAACCTCAAGCAGCTGCAGCTAAGGACGGAAGCTCTTATCTAAGCTGGAACAGATGAGGTTTACCGTGCTATCACGTACTACTCCATTGCACTTTTATATGTCATTCATATGCTCCTCCGAATATTAGCCAACTAGGTAATGTACGTCTCAAAAGTGCAGTTGTGGGAATAGCAAGTGCGCAATTTATAGATGATATTGTCTGCAATGACGCTCCCGTGTAGTGAGTTCTAGATGACCTTGCCTCGTAGAACACACATGCCACTCCCGATCAAGACGAGGTATCCGTTTGAGAAGTAGAATATGCCTAGTATGATACATCATTCTTGTGTCAATACCTAGCTGAGAGGCGTAAGCCGTATATATGCAACATCTTGAGCCCAGCTGTCTGTAATCATCTACCATCCATTAAGGCTAGGGGGTTCGTGTGTGCAATCGTAGATTATATGTAGAGTAACAATTAGCACGCAGTCCGTAGCTAAAACGTAATATAAAGGGGTAGGGGACTGTATCAACGCCCATATATCTCAACTCGAAGGAGGACTTCACTCTCTTCATATACTTGTATGGTTGACTACTGGATAAATAATTGCTACTCCACCGATGCCCTTAAATGCAGGTGACATCAAGAGAATTGCGATAGGATCAGACAACGCCCCTTTAGTTTAACTAGTGCACTATACCTACCTAGGTAGCCTTACTAAAAACTGGCCTTTAGTTAGGTATAATTAAATAATTTGAGGCTCAGTCAATATACCAGAGGAATATTCCATGCCAGTGGAGGTCTGTATGGCCAAAAACTTAACATCGACAAAAAGGGAGGACCGTTATCTCGAAGTCCTCGAGTGGCAATAGGGCTAATGAACCTATCACATTGAGCGTAAGATTGCTGTCAGTGAGTGATATGATACTTATACTAAAGCGAAGTAAGAATTGATATATTAAAGAGAGACCAGACTGTCAGGGGAATTCAGACTACTGTTAGTTACCGGACGCTAGAACTATCATTCCCGAGGCGATTCCAGGGTCGAAGCTGGTCTCTGTACCCCGAGTAATGGATTCAATCGAGGATCTTGAACTGAGAATTGAATAATAGTAAGGTTAGATGAATGATGATTAGAATGAAAAGATGGAAAAGATGATTCTAATTGTATTAGACGAAAACCTATATTATTACGTAAAGCAAGCCCACCAGAATTGCCGTCTAGCCTTTATTCTTTGTTCAATAAAGGCGTTATGTCAAGATACTAAAAATTAAAAGATCATATAATAGAATTATCTTTACTACGCGGGAATGTCTAAGGGGATACGTTGTTAGCGAGCGTGAAATTTTGCACAAAATTATAAGACTAAAATAGCAGCATTTTGCCACCGTACGGCCCCTATAGCTCAGTGGTAGAGCGTTCCACTCGTACCACATGGTCACAGCGTGATCTAGTGAAATCCGATATGGAGAGGTCCATCGTTCAATCCGGTGTGGGGGCACAATATTTTTATTTTTTTCCTTTAGAGGATTTAAAGAGTTTTATTTATTTTTAATATTTTTATTTTTAAATGTTATCTCTCAATGTTTCAATTAATCCTTTCAAGCTTGACTTGCTAGTTTACCAGCAATGTAGGTAAGGAAAGCTGAGTTGGAAAGTGTCGAATACATGACAGGGAGCCTTTTTTGTATAGAAAGGTCTATTCAGGGGTTGGTAAACTTATGTTGGAGTAGGCATTAATTAAGGGGAAATAGTAGGCAATCATTCCAGAGTAGAAATTCCTAAAGTACCTAACCTATCTAGTATATCACTCGTTTTCCCCATCCAAGTACGCTTCGTGTTCTGTTCGACTTCATAAAACGCACTCCCAGCTAGTTGCCAGATTTGCATCACCCATGCCGTCCCATTTGCTAACCATAGGATAGGAGCAGTATGCTAATGTATAGAATCTCAGCGACTCGACCTTAAAGGGAAGAGATATACGGAAAACTCACTTCGTTGTGCCGTGATTCTACCCCCAATAAGATCGTTTTCGTACTTTGTACCAACAATTGTTTCCGGCGCCGTCCCATTTTCGACCCAGTTAACTAACGCGATAAGTGCATTATATTTGGAATCTAGGAGTGTCTTGTCGAACGGATATTTTTGCGCATTCCCTATACTCCAGGGGCCTAGTCCCCCTGAGCAATGATGCATTCCGGGAAGGAAGAATAGTCGGTAGAAACTATGCATATCTTGTAGTGTGAGGTTCAGCGCAGCCTGAACCCCAGTGAAGAATTGTTCGGAAAGAGCAGAAGTTACAGTCTAATAACTGCCTGTTAGCATTGATTGATTCGGAAAGTTTGCCTAATAGTGATCTATTCATCATTTAGTCCTCCATAATACTACTAAACCTTACTTACCTCATCATTTCTCCCATGATACGAGATAATCTTACCGCCTCTGCGATAGAAACTCGACAGGTCTTTCTCAGCAGCATTGACTTGCCCTGGGTTGATGCTTACGGCAAAATCCATGTCCGATTCATTAAAATTCTCTGGTGTCCAATGGGTATCATTGAAAACTGCGCCACGCCAGAAGTCTTCAAGGATCGTATAACTCAACCTAACTGTCCCGTTCTCCTGATTCTCGGAGAATACATCAGTCTTGGAGCCTAGTTCGAAAGCTGGATAAACGATTTGACCCGAGGCACTAATGATTGGCTCATACGCTCTACGCACAGATTCTACCTGCTGTGGGCTAAGGCAAAGTGAAGAGTTAAGTAGGCCGGTACCGCATGCTAGGCTCTCAGGATCAAACCGGTGCTTTGTTGGCTCGTCTATAATACCGTCCGTTACTCCATCTAGAGAATCTAATTCTCTAATCTGTGCTTCGACGATGGCTGGCCACTGCTCTGGACGCACATAAGCCGATGAATTTAGATGAGGCCATCCAATACGTCGTGCTAGGATCCCCTTAGAGGCCACAATGTGTAACCAGTCGACACCCGGGCTCCCAAGAAGCATCCCATCGAAGTCTTCAGGATACAAATGCGCGTTTTGAAAACCTTGACGACCCCCCGTGCTACAGCCTGCGTAATACGTCTTGGTCGCTCCGGTTCCGTAGTACTGATGTGCCAATTCCTTGCTGACCTCTGCTTCGACGTGAATTGCTCTATGGCCGAAATCGTTGATAACCTCAGGTTGGTCCAGGAAAAACTCATATCCTACTGATCCGTTGTGCCCAGAGTTAGTCCCGAAAGATGCAAATCCCAGTCCAGCCCCATTTTGCATAGTAGCGTAGTCGATACATCCCCCAATGCCGCCATTCCCTGTCGCTAACACTCTTCCGTTCCAGGTCTGCAAATCTGGGAGCCAGGCTTCTAGCTGTATCTCGCTCGAGGGAGAAGTCGTGACGGTGAACACAAGCCGGCAGAGATTGGCTGTGGCGTTAGCTTTGAGGTTCGGGCCTCCACAGGACTCCGCAGTCCCAGGAAGATCAATAGTTGTTCCATTAAGTAAGTAATTATACATAAGGATTGTACTATTATGAACTGGAATTTGGGCGCCGAGTGATGCACATTCGTCTGCAGAGCATGCAGCTAAGCGGACAGCAACCCCAAGGAAGACGGCAAAGCACAAGGTAGATAGCGACATAGTTGAGCTTCTTGGTTATACATCAGTTAGGTATATCAAGTAAATATCTCCTAGTGTTAGGATGCGGTGAATAAGGGTATGTAGCCTTGCTCAGGGATAGTCACCGTTAGACATCCACTCTTGAAACTACATCTCGCAACCTAGTTGAAGTAACACCGGCGATCAGGTAGTTGATGTATTTATTATAGTTCCATTGACCTTTAGAGTAAGACCAGGCATATATTCCCCGCTCAGGAGGTAGGAAACAAGGTACTCAACCCAGGGAAACTCCAAAGCCGAAATGATTACCCCAGGTTCTCCGCATCCTATAGCCCCTGTATCGTATGCATTACCCCACCGAATATTAAGAGTGGATATCTGCCAGTTACTAGTACATAAGTAATCCATTAAGCTTCGTTTTGCTAGTCTTGAAGCGAGCTTCCTTATCAGTGTCTAGGTACCTGTTATTTCCATCCAAGGTACCACATATTTATTGATATTCCCCGTAGATGCTTTCTCCTTTATGCTCGAACGACTGGACACAGTACACGAATATGTCCTCAGGATAGACCATCGGAGGCAATAATTACTTTCAACCTTGCCGGTCATACGATGATAACGAAGAACTCTCCGGAGAGGATCCACCGGGTGATGCCTGTTGTTTCTCCTCTCCTTGGTAAATACTGTCCGAACTGGTGTCCCACACAAGACCGGTCCCGTCACAATCATGACAATCATTAACCCTAGAATATGCCCCGGTTAGTGTGATTCCATATTTTATTTGATTTAGTTAGGACTTTAACCTACATCCTAGGAGTTCCAAGGCATGAAGGGCATGAATGGGGCATACGATGATCGGGCCCAAATCCATAGATTCTTCTGTCCTCAAGGGCTAAGTTGGAAGCGGTACTTGCCGACTGCGAAGACATACTGGAAAAAAATATCGACTCAAATTAGGAAGTAACTTTCAATTTCTTGTTGATAGTTGGTGTCAAAAGTCTTGCTCGGGTTATCATGGACTCTTGGTATCTTCAGTGCTATAAGCCCGTAGATGATCCTTATATAATTTATTCCAAGCAGCGCTATACATTGTACTTCCCGCACCAAGTCGGCTTATATAAACTAACGAATCATGATTTTAAGCCAGGTCGTCTCATATGCAGAGAGACAGCCTAAGAACTCCTAATTGGCAATGGGTATCACAATACAGGATGCACCCTGCAACCACATAAGGGAGAAATTAGGCCAACTATACCCATCACTTCTATGGCGTGTTGATCCAGGGTACCTGAAGCCACCAAAAGCTGTATTACTTCGCGTTAGGTCACGTTTGCAACCCTTATCGGGCACTGACGGCGCGATCGGCCGCCTTTAACAAATTGTACGACTCTTATACTTGAGAACCTTGTTCAGTTCCTCAATCTTGCATGTTCCTACTTCTCGTTTTGTATCATCCCTCTACGCCACTGTTACATATTAATAGGAGTCGGGAAGGCTTGCTACTGATAATTCTCCCACGGTCTGATTCTTTCTTTCCGGGGGCCAACCCCTAAAGATGTATCCAATAAGTTTATCTATTATTAGATTGATTCGAGATGAGGTAATATACCATGCTCTCTAGAACCCCTACGGACTGTTAGTTCTTCCAAGTCAGACAACCAGCTGCAAGTAACCGTAAGACGGCTGATTGTTTTAGCATCCTGTGGCGACACGCAATATATGCAATGCCCGTGGGCAGTGATCATTGGATCATAATGCTTATTGGTTGAAAAACTGCCCGCCCAAAAAGAAAAGTAATTAAATCCAAATTGTGGCGTTCTGTACTCTCATCTTGCATCAACTGCGACTTGCATACACGCAAAGCAACCACTTGGCGTCGGAAACTTATTGGCAAACATCTTTCTCCTCTGGATCATGATGGCCTCAAATCGACAACCTAGCCCTGATGCGTAATTTCCCGTAGCTAACAATCCGATCACACCCCCTGATTGCGATACCCATTGGCTGTATCGCCTATTGTTTGAAACTAGGTAATTTCCGCCTCACTATAATCACCAAAGGTATAAGCATGCTGCAACGGGATAAACCGAATCGCTACGTTTACACTTTCCGCTCTTACTCTAATGAATACCAAGCCTAACCCTAGCTCTACCGACGTAGGAGATATATCGGCGACGGTGTTTCACTACTAAATTCCTAATGGTATGATTCTGTAAGTAGCATAAGCTCGTACCTACCTATGTAATAGGTTGGGCTAGGTAGATAGGTAATAATATGTCAAGATGGTGTACCTACCTCGGTAGGAAGTATATAGTAACTCATGAACATTTTTCATTTTTAGATTCAGGATGTCGTACTTTTAATCATAGAAAGTAGAATGGCGAAAGAATCAAAGCGTATCCTCATTAAGATTTCCTTACTAATCTTGGTACATGATTATAACTTATGCGTTCATAGTCAATATCCCCGAATCCTACCCAAAGACGAGTTATACTGAACATTTCTCAGTAGCCCTCACTGATTCGCGTATCTTTCTAAAGATACTCTCCGACTCGAAGTTTCAGCTTAGTTCTCTTTACGTGCTTCCTATCTCGACCTGCTCACAGATTTCCAACTCTGGGACGAATCGTGGTTTAAAACGCAGGAACATAGGCTCGAGAACCGTGGTGCTAGACATGCCCCGTCTATCTTTACATGTTAGTATATATCTCTGTAGACTTTCTACTATATTCGGGTCCGGGATTCGTTATTACAACTCTGTGCGAGTTATAGGTAGGAACCCTAGTCAAACTGATAGAGATCGGACTTACAGCGTACTATGCATGAGCATGCTTTATAGACTTTTTATTCTTCTTATGAACTCGGGCTTTCGCCTGAACCATCTTGACGCTACCAGCAGCAACGTTGGATATCTTGATAGGTGTAGCAAGCTGGACTTTATCGCTTGACGAAGGACAGGGCGAGGCTAGCATACGCAGCCGCCGTGTCCTATTCCCAAGCTCTAAATTAGTATTGGCATTATCTGATTCGCATCAATTTTTCCTACCTTCACTGTCCTTTTCCACTTGGCGTCGACTCTTGTCCATGGCGCGATTGTTCGTGACTTGACGTGTGCGCGCACCATTACGTGCATCATCAGACGAGAGAGCTATCATTGACTTCAAGCTGGATATTCTTGGCGGCATTTTATGGAATTATTTGGGAAGTATTATGCTATGATCCGCCCTAAGAGACAGCTAGAAGAAACCAGGTGTCGACTCTACCCCTTGTAGTTATATGGAAAGGGAGAGCTTTGCAGTATGGCGAAGGAACATTAGTATCTCATGAATATTTAAATAAGCACTTCCAGCAAACGAATGTATAACTCTACATTCCGATAACCGCCTATGGAGTACTGTCGTCATCAATTGACGATCTTTCTAACACATTAGGGCTGGTCTATGAGCAATAGGGGCATATGAAGAGGTGCATTTGTACCCAATATGATGTCCTTAAGCGTTGCACTGGGTAAAGATTGCGCGTAACCCTCTTAGTAAAGGTTCACCGCCCGAAAACAGATCTACACCTATCAAATTAAATAGACCCGCTCTACCACTCCAGTACATTTTATGAATATTAGTCTTAATACGAAGAGCACGTATTTTGCCATTTTCGCCTTCTTAAATTATATGGAGACTGTAATTGATATTAGGATATATGATGAATACCTACATAAAGATTTGGTCGTAGTGTTTTAGATGGATGTGCACCCAACTTTCGTATCTCACGAACAATTATTAGACCAACTAACTACCGGCTTATTCTGTTTACTCTTTTATCATCGCACGAAAACATGTGTTAAGCGTCGAATTATAAATATGAATTATGTACGCTTTTATCGTTCATTGCTGGGCATATTAGAAACGAAAATGGTTATGAGGATATAATACGGCAAGTTTATAATTGGTAGCTTAGGTGTAAAATGCATTTAACGAGTTTTTCCTTTAGAAAAGTGCAAGATGGCACAGACTCTGTCACTGCAGATCTTATATTCGGAGTTTTATTTGGTAGTTAGTAGGATATCAGGCGCCTGCTTTCGCCGACCTGCTACAAAGCCACGGAACGGTCGCGGAATAATTAAGCATCCTATCCCTGAACGAAGAGGATTGTCGGCCGAGAATATTGTGTGCGCTACGGCATGCAGTAAGCCGGACCCTCGGTGCAATCCTTGCCGCCAAGTCCAACTGTCAGCTAATAGACTAAGCATGCGATATAATACAAGGTAACTATTTACAAACCTCCAAAGCGAGTAGTTTATGCTATGAACACATTGCTTCACCTTGACTTATATTCTCCAATAATACTATCCAGAAACCACAATAATGAAATTGATTATTTCAGGAGCCACAGGCTTCGTAGCCAATGAAATCGTACGACAGAGTTTAAGCAGGTCCGAGATTACATCTATCGTGGCTCTAGCTCGCAAGCCGGTATCAATTCCTGAGAAGCTTCTACCGAACGCAAACCCTTCCAAGCTTAAAAGTGTCGTAATAAAAGATTACGATCATTACCCCGAAGAAGTCAAAACTGAATTTGCTGGAGCTACGGCCTGTATATGGTAGAGAACCCTTTGATCTTCTTCTCATTGCGGAGATTAGCCCCTATATCCGAGTAAGATCGCTAACAAGACTAGGACGGTCGCTATCACGCCGTCAAAATCAAGGATGTACGATTTTGAGGAAGTCAAGCGCATCTGTCAGGCATCTACAATCACAGGTTTTAAGGCCATACATGAAGCTGGTGTCTCGAAGCCGTTTCGATTCCTTTATATGAGTGGTGCAACAGCGGAACGTGACCCGGAAAAGGCCGTACGGTTTCAGCCACAGTATTCTTACATGCGGGTAAGGAAAGACAAAGAATCAACTAGATAGTTCAAAGCTGATTGGAGGAATATAGGGAGAGACGGAAAACCAAGTTCTTGCATTGGCAGCTGAGCTTGATGGAGTTGAGGCCAGTGTCGCAAAGCCAGGCTATATCACTGCACCTGGCGAAATTATGAGGTCTATTGCCGGCATTATGATACAACTTGTTGCTGGTATCCCTAGCATCAGTATCGTGGACCTTGCGACAGCTATGCTGGATCAGGTTATAAATGGTTTTGAGAAAGACCCGTTGATGCCCGAAGATTTGATCAGGGTTGCCAAGGCACATCAGCAAGTTTCCGAATAATAGTTGAACTTGTGGGTAAAAGTTCAATGCAAGATGTTGGTGAGATTACCATTACACTCTCCTGTTATGGAGGGAATATTAGGAGTAATAGATAGGAGAAACGGATCTTAAGTTCGTTGCCACCCCCTTTCTTTAACAATACAGGCCTAGATGTCTAGGAGTATCGCATGCTTCCAACTACCGTATAAGGTGGTTCATCAATTCGGGATACACTATCTCAATCGAGAACTTAAAGTCTACTTGGATTAAGATGAATGCCATCCGCCTAATAACGTCTAGGAACTATTTTACTATCTCGATAAATGTTATCGAAAAGGACGATCTGCCCCAGATTAATAGCTACAAATTATTCACAAAGGTAAGTATCTAGGTACTTCTAGTTCTACAAGACATACCGCAGCCAAGCCACAGACTTATAAACGTCTCCAAGGAAGAGAGTGCGGGCACGAAGGGTAAGATTAGAGAAGCGGGCGCCTATGTTCTGCTATTACCCCTTTAGGCCAAAGCGTCCTCAGGTCTAGATTCCCGTGTCGCATTTTAATATCTGTAAAGAGTTCGTGGGGAGAGACTCGAGCGGCGATGTCATCGCACAATTTTCCCGCATATTCTTCCGGAGCCGGGAATGTCTTTGGCCATGGGAGGTCTTGGGGTATTGGCAACGGCACTTCCACCTACGCGCCGATTAAAAAGGTATACTTATTACTAACGAGACCTATTCCAGATGAGTGAAGATGTAGCGGACACTTCTTGCATCTTAGACTCGACTCTATAGCACATCGATAGACTTATCTATACCTGGAAATAGAAACTTAAGCATGCATTCCCGTCTCTTAGGTGTTGGCATTGCGGTCCTTGGGGCTTTACTGCCACAAGCTGCCGCCGAATATGAGTGCAACCGGACATATATCCAGTCTTTCGCAGACAGTTACGTCGAGGCGCACGAGAATGGACAGCTAAACCGCCTGGAAAATATCGCTGACAACTTCACGTACGTGGAGAACAACAAAACGGCAGAAATCACCAGCGGCATCTTCAATAACGCGCTCAATATCGCGCACCGCCACACTATCGTCGACACCATCGATTGCTCCTCCTTCACCGAGCTCATCATAACGCACAACGTCTCGGGTGAACCAGCACCCTATGTCATCGGTGCCCAGATCCGCCACAGCCCGGGCGATCTGAGCTGCTACCTCATGGACTTGATCGTGTCTACGACCGGGTCGTGGCTCTTCAACTCCACCAAGACGCTAGAATACGCGTCTAAGGAGAATTGGACCCTCATTGAAGAGGATAAACGCCCCTCGCGCGAAACCCTCAAAAACGCTGCCGACGCCTACCTGGATATGTGGAGCAACAGTACTGCTGAAGCCGCTGTGCCTTGGGGTCAGCCGTGCGATCGACTTGAGGGCAGCGTATACACGGGTAGCGGGCTTCCAACGGATTCGTGCAAAGTTGGGATTCCTTCGAACCATAACCAGGCGCCCAATTCGCACCGCCGCTACGTCATCGATCCTACCTATGGCTCTATCAGCGTATTCTGCATCTTCGAACACCTAAGCAACGCGCCTGACAGCCACGAGTTCCGCCTCGAGAACGGTAAGCTACGGTTCGTCCATACCATTACGCTTGCCAAGAGTAGTTTCTTCGAAGCTGAAGAGCCTGTAGCGCAGCCGATCGTACGATATAGGAAACGGGGAGGGACACGTCGAGCTGCAGCAATAGGCTCACCAGATCGTATCTAGGGGTTGCTTTAGGCATCGATATTAGGAATGGCGATTGGATTAGGTAGGTTTAGGATCCTAATTCGAAGCTCCTACATGGTGGTCCTTACAGCCTCCACGAGACAGGTTTCCATAGGCTAGGTTAACCCAAGAATAAAACTTAGATAAATAGGATTTTACGGAGAATCTAAGCTAAGGTTGAGGTATAACCCCCAATCTATCTTGTTCACCACTCCATTTCGCCCATTTGGGTCTAAATTCATTCCGTTTACGGAGTATTCGTGAAGCCCTTGCAGCGTGATTCAATGAACCAAAAAAGGACGCAGTGTGGGATCGGTCCGAACTAAGCGCGTACTGTCGTTGTATTCGGGACTCTCGAACACTTTGTATCTCAAGCTTAAAGGATTCAGTTCGGTTAATCAGGTATATTAGCATCCCCCTCCTCGCTATATTTTTATTCCAGCCCGTTGCTAATTGCAACACGGGAAATCTTCTCCAGTATGTCAGCTCCTCCAATTTGGTGGATTGTAATCCTGCATCGTAAATCTTGCCCGCTCGGTGACGTAGACGAACTTCATCGCCCAGCACTTGATTGATCATTGGAATCCAAGGTATAGATATCATATTTCGTTCGGAATCTATCTCTATTCCGTCTACTGTACAAGGAGAGTTAGCAGCTGCTTTCTTGAAAAGAGCCTCATGTGTACATACGCTTAGGGTCATTGCACGCCACTTCTGAAATCGTTACAAGGTGAAAAGTCTCGCCAAAAAGGATTTCCAAGGAAGTTGCCGTCTCTTTAGTCCAATAACTAAAATCTTCCTTGGTCTTTGTTGGATCCGATATCTTGAAGAATGCATTATAGCTGTCTTGTGAAAGTCGGTCAAACTCCATGGTATACAAAGATTCCTTAAAATTGTAGAGAGTAATAGTGGTCACGCCAAGATATCTCTGCCGAACAACTCTTTCTATTTCCGCCTTCCAGTCTTTGCAAACCAAGCGGAACGCAAACCAAGCACCCGGCAAGTGATCCTCTGCGGTTCGTTCGATTATCAAAAATTGGACCTCCCAAGGCAGTAAAGGCAATTCCGGTTTGCTGGCATCTACCGATTCCAATGGGATGGTGGTAACCTCTTGGGGGTAGTTCGAAGCCATGGTGGTCTGAGTTTAAAGAATGATAAAAATAAATGAAGTTTGGAATCAAGCCTTGCAAATAGTAAGCTTCTAGAGACAAGGCAAGAGCAATAGAAGAGGTGATCTGGTCAGATCCCGTCCAAATAAGAAATCTGGTGGGACAATTTTTTCATTTGTGTCACTGATAATGTTTGAAAAGGGAAAGAGACAGTGGCTAGGCACCATGAAGTAAATGGGTGAGCGGAGTAGAGCCGTCCCGTGGACGAATCTATTGTGTTCTCCTATCGTCTGCAAACTGGATAGTCGAGAATGTTTACATTAGCAATGTCCCCTATTATGCCGCTAGGATGATTTCATTTGTAAATTTCCCGCGTGTGATAGCTTATGCCGGTGCGGAAATTGTTAGGGGAGAAGTTGACATTGGTATCCGATGCTTCATGCACCAGTTTTATTGACCAAAACAAACTATTTACAATAAATTTATCAGTTCCCCTATCTCAAAAACAAGAACCGTCATAGCTCCCATGATACTTTTAGATGGGATTTTAAGTTCACTATTATCTCCAAATATATTCTATGCGGAACTTATTGAAGCAGTAATTCTTTAGTCAAAACTGTGCATTTCTGTGTTCAAGCAAATAGCACAAATAAACTGTAAAAAGGCCCCGAGCAAGTCGAGCAAGATTTAGCTATGTTCATAACTTGATAGCCAATTGCTTTAAAGAACTAAGAAAGCACAAACCTTGTGATAATTCCTTACCCAGAGAGCCAATGCCCTTGCGTATTTACATTTAAACTTTAGGTCTGGTCGGAAATGGGCAAAAAAGGCCTCTTCATGCTGTTCATAGCTTAGATGATGTACGTATGGTGAAAGCATGTAACTCGTTATAAGAGCAGCTAATTTGGTAGAGCAACTGTAACAACTTATTTATTCATTTTATGAATTTACCGTGAAATTGATCTTTTTTTATTTAATCACCTAGGTACCTAATCACTCATATTTCACACCTAAACACATTTATTTAAAAATAATTCAATAAGCCACGTTACTAACATAAGTACTAAGGAGGTTGACATGAACTTTTGTAAGAAGAATGAGAAAAGTTTAGAATTTAAGACTAAAAGGCCTTTCCCCCGAAAAATGGTTATTATGAACCTATTTTAAGAGCACCGTGGGCTTAATAATTTTTGTCACGCCTTATTCGTAGAGCCCATGAGATGCACCAGCACTATTTTACGAAGTAAATTCCTGGAACTATGATTAATTTTAACATGGTAAAAGCTTATTGCTCTTTTCGAATGTGCTGCAACGATTAAAACTTGCAAGTAACAGGTGCGTAAGGTGATTTTTAAAAGAGTATACATGTATGATATTTTTAATAATATTTAGTCTGCCTTAATCTAAGCATTATCTTATGCCAATAATTAAGACCATCAAATTTATATGGAACCAATAACTAATGTTTTAAAGCTATCTTAGCAATCAATCTATAGCTTTCCGTTCATCTATGAAATATATATGAGCAACAAGATAATGTTACCATAGGTAATAGTTCTAACATATTACTTTTAATCGCTTTAACCAGTGGCATACTTATAAACCTGTGTAATGATGCTACTGTTAAGGATATAAATCTAGCAATTAGTGAAAGTAACGTAACATTGCACTTTGGAGCTTAGCTTGAGGGGGGGAGCAAGGAACGTTAAATATATATATTGTGAAACCTTTCAATACCCCCCCCCCCTGCCAATTTAGCTAGCATAGCATTGATTCAGTAATTACCTACGCATTGAACCAATCCTGATGATGGGTAGCATGCCCCTTCATAGTAGAGATAAACAAGATCGATCAATCTCACACTGGGGTAATAACCGGGACCGGGACCAGATCCGGAGATATCGGGTCATCGGAGGTGTTTTAGTGTTTTGACGTTTGGCGGTTTTTGGTTCTTCGAGCATTGTATTTATCTGCAACGAAGGTCGGGATTTAGCAAAGTATTGTAGTAGTTCTCGTTATCAAGTCTTAATAACATTAGTACTTGAAGAATTTCAGGTCTGATAACTGTATCATCGGGTATATTTATATGCGCATGAATGAATTTAGTTAATATTATATTCATCATCATGCGTCAACACAGGTAGGTTATTCTAACCACTCCAAAATCTCCAGCCGCTCAATCCATGGCTCTATCAAAATCATAAACACTCGCTCCTAGTGTTTTCAACCATTAAACAAAGTATATCAAAGAAATCACCGTTTAGACTTCAGTGCGCTTCTCTTCAGGAACTACAGTTGGTACGACATCACCCGCCGTCTCATCACTGAATTTGAGGTCCTCATCGAGCTCGGTAGTGTCCTTGATTCTCGTAAAAAGGATTGGAGCGGCAATTAGGAGAGATCCGGCACATACACCCCACTGTTTCAATTGTCAGTTACGAATCCATACCTGTATGGGAAAGGAGAGAGTAAACTTACGGTAGCGGCGAAGATGGTGTTATATTCGGTGTGGATGCCATCTAAGCGCCAGAAAATGGCCGCACCAGCGGATTGAAGACCCTTATAAAATCCAGCCATGTTGGCAGTCTTTCGGCCAGAGTTTGAGAGAGCGCCCATGTACCTAAGACTGTGTTAGACTAACATCATATACCTATTTACATGGTTCATTTTGAATTTCAAGGAATTTCAAGGACTTACCAGTAAATGCATGTTTGCCATACGGAGTCATACACGCCGTAGAAAATGTAAAGGAACATAGGTGCAAGGAAGTTGTTGTCCGCCCAGTCAATTTTCTGATCATCGGGTACTTTCCCAGACGCCGCTCGGTCAAGCTGGTACTCTTGCCACGCCCAGCCACCACCCCAGATGACAAAGGTGAGGGAGAAAAGGGCAACGAATGAGATCTTGGCACGCATTGATCGCCGAATTGATTTGATATCAAGAGCGTATCCGACAATAACGGCGCCAAAAATCTGGGCGAGCCAGTAAAGGAGGTTATTCAGTGAGCGGGCACGAGTATCAAAATAGGCAAGATTGAGAACGTTCTGCTGGTATGTGTAGAAGATGTTGGAAGCGAAGAACATGGGGAATAGAGCAACGACCCAAGGGCTGAGGGAGATACACTCCCAGAGTCCAATGAACTCGCTCTGCCAAGTGGGGTTCTTCATCAAGATAACTTTAGAACCATCATCACGGATAACCTTGTCTCCATTCACCAAGAGGGTGGTAAGACACGCTCCGACAAACATGAGAACAATGAAGCCAATATACGTGCCATCCGTGACAGTACCGGTGTTGTTGCTGACGTTCTGTCCGAGAGGAATCAAGCTACCAATAACGGCGCCGAGGTTGAAGATGATCCAAAACCAACTAATGTAACGACCTTTGGACTCTTCGGGAGGATAAGCCATCATGATAGTTCCTTGCGCAGTCCAGAGCAAACCGGCGCAAAGACCCAAAAGAGCACCGGAGAAGACGACGAAGCCAACATTGCCGGTATGGCTGTAGCACAACAAACTAGCAGAGTAAATGCAGTAACCAATGCCACCGATAGTCAAAGTAATCTTTACACCGAGTTTGTTCGCGATGGAGCCGGAAAAGAAAGCGACAACGGCAAAGACGGAATAAAGAGCGGTGGATGCGTGATCTTGCACAGTCGAATCGACCTGTCCACCACCACCGAGACCTTGAAGCGCATTGTACATTCCAGGGCACATGAAGCAGACGAAAGCGACCATCAGAAGCTGGATCTTGGGTGACGCATACCAGAATTCCCTCTTGCCGATCCGAAAACCTCGATACATCCAACCATCAGGACGCGCTCCGGGGCCGTGCGTACTCGCGGCAAGATCCGAGTGGGATCTTCGAACGGCTTGCGTATCGGCGTCGACCGCCGGCTCTTTCGCGTCTGCCATTTTTAGAATTGGTCGATTGGTCAGTTTCCCCTAGCGATTCGAAGAAAGATCTCTAGCATAGACCTGTAAACATCTAGTGTTAGCTTATTACAATGATCGCTAATGCTAACTAGTACTTGAAGTAAAGCACAATAGGGGATTGAATGACTCGT